TCGGGCGATATTTCGCGCGCAAATTCATATACATCACGCGTATGCGTGCGTGCAGATTTTTCGGGGCGGCGAATATATCAAAATTTCATCGTTGCAGGGTTATCCGGCCGTCCGGCTATTAATTTTTTTATCTGCGCTCGGATGAACGTCGGTTCCACGGCGGTAAATCAATTATGATATGTCGACTGGGAGGGGTGAAGGGCGCGGGGCGTCGCGCGTGACGTCACAGCGCCGTTTAATCCTTATCAGTCGCCGCTAAACAAATGATATTCATAAAATCGCACTGCGGACCGCGTGGGATGAAAAAATTAACTGTCTAAAGTTAACAATATGAGTGCAACAAAGACAACTTCTATTTAGTCTCATATAGAGGAGAAAGAAAGAGTGATGATTGGGGGATTGCAACTTTCTTATTCTAACCACTGTTGTTTTAATACAGTTTCTCTGTTCAGCTCATTGAAGTTGATGCAAACTTATTTGCATTGATTTTTGTAGAGAAGTTTGGGTAAATTCCGTCTGATTGATGAATGAAATTTTGACCATTTTTGTGGGCTTTCGGGTCCGAGTATATCTACCAACAACCCTTATCAGTGCTCGTGCATGAGCTTTTTCCAGATAGGTCCGAAAGCGGATTAAAATTACGGTATTTTTGTAAGCGAATTTTCATAATTTGTGTTATGGAAATTCCACCCCCATTCGAACAATAAATTTATTCCCTTTTTACACTCGTTATTATGCAATAACCCGTTTCTTCATTCCATATATACAAACTTACTAATCAAACAACATTCCAACTGTAATATACTTGCGCTATAAACAAGCAGAAAAGCGACCCCTTTTCGCCTTCGAAAGCGACCCCGAACGCGGAGGAAATAAGAGGGATCAAAACTCGTATTGTCGCGGTCGCTGGTGTAAAAGTGAAACTGCCGATTTTCTCACCCCGCCGGCCCCGGACCGCCCCCAATACGGTGCGTGTGCCTCGGCTTAAATAGTTTGCTCTATACGCTAAACTGAGCAGATTAGCATTTCGACGGCGACTTCGACTCCGGCATATGCTCGGGATTATTTTCCGTTCAAATAGATTTCCGACCCGCGGGAAACCTAATCGAGCCAACGGAGCGAAAAAAACTTATTAATAGCGAATCAAATAGGTCGAGAGAGAAGGCAATTTAAATTTCGCCTATTTATAATCTCTATACATGCAGCATATCATAGTGGCTACTCTTCGCAACATAGGAGCTCTTTTAAGTCGCATAGATAGCCCCTTATATCATGCAAATTTCTATTTGTGCATCGGTAATTATAATAATTATTACTTATCTTCGAGACCTATCTAAATGGCATAATTATTATGCTCGTTCTCGGCTCGTTCAAGTGGGTGGTCTTGTTTTAGCTCAACCAGCGAATCTCGTTCAAAACCAGAATCCAGAATCATCATACTAACTTTATATCGCACTTAATTTTATTATGCTAATACCGACAAAAAAATGTATTCCTTCAAATGTTAGGCAACTCAAATTGCACGAGCGGTATTAATTACGCGCTGAATAAACCCAGAAGTTGAGGCATAAAAATAATACGAAGAAAATGTAATTATCTCCGTATAAAAGAGGTACTTTAGAGCCCAGCAGTTGAGGCCTAACAAACATAAAAAGAAGAAAAAAAAATGTAATTATCTCTATATATACAAAAAAACCTATAGTCATGAATACCGGCTCGACAACCAACCCCATGCAACAACCGCCCCCCGCCCCCGTATAATCCGTAAATAACATCACAATGCCGGCAGCGTCCCATTCTTCGAAGGGTTTCCATCTTAGCAGTCGAGTGACAAGACTATCCAGCGCGTTATCAGCGCTCGTGCAGAGATTGTCACGGCTTCCGTCATATCGGCGGGGGCGGGCGTCGACCGGGGGGGGTGGGGGCGAGGGCGCCGCGACGCGGGAGCGGGCAATCGGTTATCGGATTAGCGTTATCTAAACGATATAGACGGTGTCAAGGCGCGCGTGTCAGCCGCCGTCGCGACGCCCCCCGCCCCCGCGCCGCTTCGAACGTGTGCGGCGGTTTGATAATCTGGCGCGGCTCTCTAAAAGCGTGAGTCATTTTTTTTTTGGTGTAAAATTTCGTACGTATAGTTGAAACAGTATAGGTTGATGTTGGGTGCACAAAAGATGTCCAGCTGTAAAATAATTTCCCCGCTAATGGAGGCCCCTTTCCTGCGAGGCGTTCGAGGCGTCGACGGGAAATGACGCCGCCGTTTCATCTCCGGTCCATTTCCGGACTTGGCGGCGCTAATGCGCGCTTAGCCGGCCGCCATCTAGCGCCCGGCCCGAGAGCGCTCCTTCTAATTTAAGGGTTTTTTCGCGGGCGGCATTTCGCGCCGGTTTAATATAAGGGATGTGTACGCCCGAATGTTTTTTTTTATCGATGTGAGTTATAGCGGCAAGCTTCGGCAAGGGATGAAAGCGCCCTTTTTTCTTTTATATACACTAAAAATAATTTGGAAGATGATAACAATGAACAGCATGTTTTCTGTTCAATAAAATACATTTGTTATTTCTTATGCTCCCCGATAATTGATTCAACAAACTGGATACTTACATAAATTCTTGTTTCTAGTTCATTGAATTAATGAACGGTTTTCAATAAAAGAAATTTATTAAATAAAAATCTAAATTTCATTGATTCTATGAAAGCATTTTATTGAACCAATGTACTACATTTATAAGAAAAAAATCTAAAATTTGTTGAATCAGTGCACACAATTCATTAATCCAATGTAAAATATTACATTGAATTAAGGTATTTCTTTATTGGTACAGCAATTTTAATTCATCGAAACAATGATTTTCATTTCATCATATCAACATTTATTACATCAATTATACATCAATTAATGAACAAACGATCATTGCTTTAATGAAATCATTTGGACGACTTTTAATGTATGCATTTCTTGTATTAATGTATTTTTTCATTACCTAAACGTACTTTTTTGGTTCAATGTACAGGGTGTATCTCATAAACAACCCGTAGATTGTTTGTGCACCATCGACCCTTATTAATATCGTCAACCCTTTCGGCAGGATCATCATTCACGGCCCTAAAATGGAACGATCGCCCGTCCGTATGGGCATCATCAGCGCTCGAAGATGCAAATGCGCCATCTATCGCGCGCCTAATCCAAATATGAATAGCAAATGACCGATAATCTGGATATCAAAATGCAATTAATCAAGGAGTCGGCGTGCATTAGCATACGCCCGTATACATACAACTAGATTGCGCCTATACGACCCATGAATTATTTATTCGATGCGAACAAACGCGTCTCGTGTGAATGATTCGACGGGTAATGGCTTCATTCTTGTCCTTATCAAATTCGCGTTGCCGCGATAACTGCGGTTTTCGGTGCATCGAAATCTTGCGCATCGAAATTTATTGAAAGATGCACCTTGTGTGTAGAAAAAAGTGTCCCCGCAGCCTCCAATATCCCACATGCTACCTGATGATTTTTTCCCAAACTCCCACTTGATTTATTATCATTGCTACCAGCCTTCAATAGCCCGCGGAGAAGGATAAATTGTACATGTTAATTTCTCGAAACCAGTGGCGTACGTCTCATACAACTACCCCACAAATACGCTCTATAATTAACTCGTAACTACAAACAACTCGAATGTACCTGCGACAATTCGAAAATTCGAAAACGAAATAGTTATATGCATAAGTGGAACAAAACGGGGTTCCACGACAATGCGATGGGGGCACCCCGTAAAGGGCCCCCCGGTGCGCGGGTCGCGCCACAGTGTCACCTGACGCAGGCACAGAGCAACCCTCGCTCTATTATTTATGTTTGTTTAACTGCATTATGCCCAGCATCTTCACAAAACGTATCAATTCTGCGCGAGGACAATGCGAGAAGGTGTTACCGGAGTCTCGTGGAAAAGGACCACGTTTATAAGAAACTACTAAAGCTGGTATTGAGATTGTATATGCTTTGTGTAATTTGCGAATTTTAATGTAGTAATTTTTATACTACCTACATGCTATGTATGATGGTAGGAAAACATATCGTTCAACTTGAATTCTCGCTTCTTTTCTAGTATACCCATCCACTCGTATAGATAGTAAAGGAGCGAGAGATCGGGGTGAGCGATAGTACTATCATACATTGTAATTTGAGATGTACATCATGAAGTGGTTGGGATTTTTTTTTCTTTTAAGGAGATTTGAATATTCGGTGTGAACGTAGGCAAAACTCGAGAAAATGTGTCCATTATTTTTTGTTATTTCTCATTTTTTTTTATTTATAGACGCGCCACAAAAGGGCTGATGGGAATATATTCGGTTTCAATGATGTAAATAAACGGTCGGGGAGTCCATTGTCGTTTTTTTATTAATAGATTCGAAATAATCGAACAAAGGAGGAACGGTGAAGAATGACCGTTTATAAATCTTTTCGGTAGTCAACGAGCCACTAAAAATAAGTTTTACTGTTTTCGTTTTATGAATGGGACGTGAAGTGCTCGCAAAAAGGCTCTTTTGATTGGCTTTTGATAGGTAGGAAAACGCGAAACGTGTGAAGAATCCTTCATAATATCTACACCTACACGAATAAAATATATAGGGTGTTCAAAAAGCGGGTAAGGAATCTCAGTCAAATTGCTCATCGAGTTTGAGCCTAAAATTTGACTGAAATTCGAACGTTTTTAGACACCCTGTATAGAATACATCATTCGCAAACTGTTTCTCTCAAGATTTTTGTACAAAAATAAAACGTTTATCTACCTGCTGCATCTAAAAATATCATCCCTATTCCTAATACTAATCTCGAAAACTCCAACACAAAACACCTTGATTTTTTTTCTTCAAAAAAAAATAGGCGCCACGTCTACATGTTAATTTTTTACCATCCCCGCATCTTCTCTAATTAATAACTTGCAACATACGGAAATCTGCCGTTAAACGCGACTTCCTGCGCCAACAAAACCCACTTCCACGGTTCAAACCAATTTATTTTACGCCTATACCACTAAAATTACAACAAAACAAGCTTATTCCGCTCCGTTCCCCGATCGCCGTTCGATCACCTCCAGATTGCTGCAATCGCCTCTATGACCTAAAACAATCCAAACAATTTCCTCCCAACACTCCAACCAACATCACCGACACCTACCAACAGGCTCCAAGTACCTCCTTACAACGACATTCTGCAAGAGCTCCCGCTCCTCCAGCACCGGCGCCGCATCCAACGCGTTCAACGAAGGCGCTTCGATCATCAAACCTGCAACAAAAAAATCGAAATCTGTCGCCTTGCAGATCCCCCAGCTGCGATGGAACGTACGGACGTCGTCGTCGGCGGGCTCCGCGTTGGCCTGCAGCTGGACAGGAGCTTGCCGGATCATCTCCACGAACACCGTCACGATCCTGCGCCATTCGTTGATGTGCTGCGTCTGCAAAAAAGACCTGGGTTAGACGGGGGGATTCGTCGAGATGGCGAGGATTACTTGGACGGTGAAGAACAGAGGAAGCAGCGATATGGGCAAGGTGTTTCCGCGCAATTCATCAGCCGGAGAGGATTTTATCACAGCGTCCAGCAGCTCGAAGAGCATGGCTGCTAATAGCAGCTGATTGGCCGGCAGTTCTTCCTTCATCAGACCCAAAACGTCGGCGACGATTATCTCCACGTCGACGTTCTCGTTTTCGTCTGAAATATCGCGCGTTAAATCTGCAGAAATGAGGATACCGATCGGGTGGTTTACCGCCCAACACGAGCGATTGTATGGAGAGGGGTATCAGAGGCTCCTCCATTCTGGTTAGGTAAGTGTAGAGGGCCTGGGAGGCTTCCAGTCTCCAGCCGGATTCGAGCATCGATCGTACCTTAGCGACGTCGCCCTTTTCGAGGGCCGCGTTCAGTTCCTGGACGGCGGTTTGATTGAGGGCCGCGCCGGCCCTGAACATCCACCCGTGGCTGATGATCTGCACATCTGGAACATTGCGAAACTGGGCCTAATGAAAGGGCGCTTTCGGGCGACAGCCCGGGGGAATCGGAGGAGTTGCTGGAAGGTAGTTTTACTTACTTACTTGACCTTAGGGCTACGATGATTTCGCGGACGGCGTGCAGGCTCTTTTCTGTGATGTACTCCTTCTTGCCGAAGCATTGGAAATGCGAGTTCTTGCAGCAAGACGGTATCCTGAAATGTCTGGCAATATCAATATTCGCTAAATTTCGAAATTTTGAATCGTTGATATCGACTTTTTGAGAATTAAATAAGTTACTGTGTATTGTTAATTATTGATAACACTGGGGAACAGAGGATGGTTTGTGGAAGTTAAAAATGGGGGTAGATTTAAAAACAACTATATCAAATTAGTAATTCTACAATACAAAATAATATTTCAATTCTGTATACCAGTATAATGAATTATCGAATGCGAAAAATTGGAAAACACAACAAATAAACCTTCAAAAAGCAATTTATTTAAGGTAAATTGTTAATTTAAAATAATTAAAAATCGACCATTAAACGAGCGTTATTTGTTCTTTGACCTAATTCGCAAAACGCGTCGATCAATATTACAACAAATATTTCCATTGAGAAACACATAAATTATACAAACTATTCAATTATTGTTTATTTAGCATCCGATAAAATACAACACAAGCATGTTTTAAAACAAACTTCATTTCAACTAATTTAGAAAGAAAAATTCCTCCGAAAATCAAATTTTTAACCCTGTAAAGTGCATTGCCCAAAATAATTTTATACAAATACAACAACCTAAACCCGAACAAGCACGTTTGCAGCGCATTAAACCGCACTCATTCGCTATAAAAACCAAAATAAATCCATCGCCAAATTCAGTCAAGTTCGCAAAATGGGCACATTCACACCCCTCGCCCTCCTCATACTCGCGCTCCAAACCCCCGTCAACCCCTTCGTCCTACAAAGGGTGTGCCCTGCGAACAACAACAACGTCTGCCACTACTACGAGAACCCCAGCTTCGTAGCCCTGCGAGCGCCCCTCGTGCAGTCCAGAAGCCCCTTCTTCTTCGCGGACAATCCCCCCAACGCCGAGCACATCATGAGAAACATCAACTACGGCTACTTGGACCTGGACAAGCCCATCGCCAGCATGCGGGACTTCGTCGAGATGGACTCCGAGGAGATCGGCAGGCGGCGGGAGCCCAAGGCGTACTACGTGGAGGAGAAGCCGGTGCCTTGGAGGATGGAGGACGTGCAAGCGTACGGGGGCGGGCCCCAGGTGCTTCCCGACGTGGTGATATCCCCCGAAGGTCCCCAAGCGCCGGCTGGCCAGGCTCAGATGCTCACCGAAGCCGAGAAGCAGATGGGCATGTCCGTGGTGGAGGATCCTCCGGCTCAAGCCAGAGACGACATCATCCAGCAGGATAAATTGCTGACCTACGAAGCTGACGATATGGGGGATGTTGAGATCGACGAACGGTATTTAAACGAGCCGACCAACCAACGATATCAACCGCCTTCGGTGGTGTACAACAAGATTGTCAAGGAACAGGAGAAGGAAGTACCCAGGGAATATTTAGAGCAATATTATAGGCATATTTTAGTACCACAAGCATCGAATAGCAACGAGGATAAACCAGAGAAGACTCCTGATAATCCAAGCGAAGATGTGCAGAATTTTGAGGAAACTACAACTTCGCCAAGAGAATTTTTTAATACTTTAAACACTTCTCCATCGGCTGTTGAACTTATAGAAACAACAGCCAAATCTTCGGGAACACCTTCACCAGTTGAATCTTCAACAAATGGACAGTTTATCCAGACTGCGGAACCTGGAAAGAAGAAAATCGCAGCAGAAGAATCGAGCGGGAATAAGGGGAATAAGAAGTCGAAAAGAAAGATGAATAAAAAGGGTAAAAGAGAAGAGGCGAGGAAAGATATTGTAAATAGGGCGGGTGATATCGATAATTTTCTCGATGGTTTGTTGAGCGTTATGTAAGATAATTTAATTTAATGCAAAGTTTATTTATTTTTGTATTTTTTCAAATATTGTAATATAAGACATTTTTTTAATTATACTTGGTAGTTTATTTGAATTATTTTTACAAAAAACAGTAGAAATAATTTTGGAATTATGAAAAATCGTAATTCTTAAAAAAATTGCTTGATTCATTTATGTTAGCGAAAAAATCAATGTTATAAATTACCAATTAACTATAAACAAAAATTATTAAACATTTCGTAAAAATGTCAGGCACGATTTAATTAAAACACGAGTATGATGACCGTGGATTTTTTAAAATAAAACAATACAAGTATTTGTGATGGAATAAGTAGGTTAATATTACTGCATAATGAACGTGTGTAATGGAAATTGGGTTACGATATTTTTTTTTCAAGAAAAGAATTACCTACTAAAAAAACATTTGTTGTACAAAAATTTTTGAAATTTAAAAAAAATTGTTTTAAAATGAAATTAATGAAGAACTTTATTTTAGATTTGTTTAAACTAAAGAATATATTTCAAATTTTGAATGTCTACAATCGCTTTACATTGTAATATAAACTGTACTTTTAAGTGCCAATTTCAAAGGGTTAAATTTTATATTCCTAACATTATTTTTTTGCTGTATATACAACAAAAAATCCTAAAAATATCCAACATCCCAACGACTATAGACCACACGTCGCAAAAAAGAAATCACTCTGTATACAAACGTCTAAAAAGATTGTTTAAATATTGCCGCTGCTGAATTGCAAACAAACAAACACAATTATAATATAAAAGTAATCGACATTTCACAAACTTCATTCGCTCAGTCGCCGTTGCGAAAACACCAACAAATCACAAAACAAAAATGCTGATCGCATTCCTCACGCTGTACCTCCTGGCGACGGCCCACGCAAGACCAGACATAATCCGACTCGAGCAACCAGACGCAGTCGAACTCCTTCCCGCCGCCGCCCAACCGGAACTCGAAGGCCTCCGCGACGCCCTAGCAGAGCGCGCCCAGCCCGAGGAGCTCAACAGAAAGAAGAAACAAGTCACCACCTTCTGCGTGGAGATCCGGCCCAGCAACCACAGGCCCTTCCAGGTGTGCGACCCGTACGGCGCCAAGGAGCAGCACCACCAGAACGTGGTCAGCATCAAGCCGCACCATTCGGAAGACTTCGGCGGCCAATCGCACTCCAAATCCGACTACTCGGAGCCGATCAAAACCTACCCGCCTTCGGAGAACTCGGTCAACTTCCAGCCCAACCACGGCGGCAACTTCCCCGAGGTGCAGAACCTCGGACCCGCCAGAGCGGCCGAAGAAGATCCGATAGAAAACGAGTTAGACACTAACGCTGCTGCACACGCTGCTGTAGACCAAGCGAAAATCGAAGTTCCCGCCGAGACAAGATCAGCTTTCCCTGACGATGATGAGAAAACCGAAGAAAAAAAATCTATACCTGCCACGGAGATACCCGTTATTCCGGATAAACCCGTACAACTACCCGAAGTACCCAAAGAGGAACCAGAAGTGGGAAAAGCCGTCCAACCCGACGAGGAACCCCTCAAAGTACCAGCAGAATCTAACCCAGCGGTGAGAACGCCCAACCAACCCTACGGACATAAACCAAACTACAATCACGGGGGCGGTCACCACACCCAGTACATTCCCGTATCGCCTACGCACAACCAACACCACAGCGGCTTGGTGATCACCTGCCAGCCCAATCTAGCCGGCTACGCTCACGGAATGCCCTACTATCCAGGCCAGGACGGCTACAACAAAGGGGGCCAAGCAAACTTCAGGGCCGCCGCTCCGACGGGCAAACAATACAGGCCCTACGAGTACGGTTACGGAGGCTACGGCGGATACGGCTACGGGGGATACAAGCCCCAAGCGCACATGTACCACGGCCCCGTCCACCACGTCCCGATGCACCACGCCCACATGAAGGAAGAGCATTGGAAACCCATGCGAAACACCTTCGACTTTTCGCATTCCGGCCCGATGCCTCCCTTCTCCGGCAACCATCACATGCCGGGCGAGTTCGAGCATCACGGAGAAGAATTCCACGAAAGATCCTCCGACAAAACGGACCAAACCGAGCAAATCTTGGACCCCAAGGAACAGCACACGCTGGATAAGATGGAGGATATATCCAAGCAACGGCTCGGAGACAGCTGGGTGCCCGACGGCATGGAAGAGGTGCACGATGATGGACAAGCATCAGGCAGAAGGGAGGCGAGCGAGAACTTGGACAGCGCCCCGATTCAACCCAACCCCGAAGGCATCAACAAAGAGCCCAGCGAAGTAAGAGACGCTGAAGGTTTCCAAGCGCAGGGCGCCAACGCGGAGCCGCAATCTCCGTTGCACTACGATGGGGATTTCGAACCAAAAGGCAACCAAGGAAGGAACGCGATGTACGACGACGCCCCGGAGGGCGGAAGATGGAGAAGCGCCGGCTACGACGTTCCTTCTCACGATCCGGCGAAGGAATCGAGTCAGGGAGCGGAGGCAGCCAGGGAGGCGGGTAGTTGGAGGAGCTCGAACGACGAGGCCGGTCCGAACGAGGGGTCGAGGGACGCGGAAGGAGGCTCTTGGAGAAGCGCCGGCTCGGATTTGCCCGCTGGCGAGGGGAATTACCACGAAGAGGAGGCTAAAGGGAAATTCAGGAATGCCGGGGAAGTTGCTCCGTTGCCGGAAAAGGACCTGCCTAAAGGGTACAATCCTAACATGAGGTACTCAGGTGATGGTATTTGGTTCGACAACAAAGTAATCGAACAGTAACAGTTTAATTTATATTTATTTTGTATTAGCTGATTTGTGTTTTGATAATAAATTGTATGTAAAAAAACTGAATAAATTATTATTACGATTGAATATGGTACTTACTTGGATATATGGATCCCCATTTAACAAATAGGTATTTATCACATTTTACAACTTCAAAATTTTTGCTAACACAATTTGTTAATTGTCACTTTTAACATTTTTAAAATCGTCAGTCAGAGATACATCAAACTTATTTTATTGACTATCAAGTAACAACAAAATTAATTGGTTATAGAAATTAACGAAACAATTAACACAAACGATAGTAATTAAATGAACTATAATTAATTAATTGAATTTGAAATTAAAAGAACTGGTCATTTGGTTCATACTGAAATCTGGCAATGGGCAATCTGGATCTGATCGTTCTGATCCAGTGTATTTGGGGCTCAAGCAGAATTCCGTAGTAAATTCATCTAAAGTGAATTCATTATTGAATTAAATTGTACCAATTTATAATCTAATTGTAAAGCTACAAATGAATACTAACTGTTGTCCCCGGTTTCCAAAAACTGCGTGATACTTCCGAAATTGTACAGGCTAGATCTGGAATTATTAAGAGGATCATCATCGACTTTTCCACCTGGCAGTTTTTCGGCAACGGAAATTTTTTCTGCGAGATTTTCCACATCAACTTTTCGTTTTTTAGCCGAATGTTCGATATTCGATGCTTTAGAATGGGCTATAAAAATACGTTTAACAATGTTAATATTACGAAATTGTGTTAAAAGTATTACCAGTTTTTCCGAAGAATGGTAGATTTATTGTTTTTAATGGGAAACTGTTGTTTTCTGATGTAGTTTTGACTGAAAATGGAGATATTTGGATTACAAATGGGTTTCTAATTGATGTGTTTATGTTAGAGCTTACAAAATGGTAGGGAAAAAGGAAACTGAGCGACAGATTTTTCGGTTAACCTCGGTTCCTTTGCATCCATCTTCGATGTACTGGGGGTTGCAACCTTCTCCATGGCAGTACCATTTTCAATTTTACTTTCCATCGGTATAGCAGCAGATTCTTTCGTAGATTTAATCATGCTCCGATCTGAACAAAAAACAAACCATATTAGCAACAAAATATAAATTTTCTAAACAAGTACCGTTTGAGTCAACGTGCATTTGAATGTTGTTTTTTTCCTCTGGCAACAATTGACTCTTTTCGTTCGAATTATCTTCTTGTAGCTTTCCCTCGGCGTTTTTGGATGGGATTTTTGATGTACTTTTGATTGCAATTTTGTTTAACTCCTGCTTCAAAGCGTTCAAGTCTTGGCTGGCGATGTTCAAATGATTCAAATCCTGAGTAATGCGAGTTTCCATGATTTCTTCTTTTTGCTTCGAGGCGTTAGTAACTTTTGGTGGAGATTGCCCCTGGAATATTTCCAAAATGTAATTGTTTTTGTGTAAATATTACGAGTAAAAATGTACTTTTATTTCGACATTATTTTCTATATCGCTCTCTTTAGGTTCAACTGGTATTTCAGCAGGTGCTTTAGAAATTTCATCGTTATCGACTGCCATTGTAGATTTTTTTCGCGAGTTGAAATTCATAGCAATATTGAATCTGTTTATTTTATCTTTTAATTCGCTATTTGTTCCTCTTTTGTCTGCAATTTCTAGGAAGTTTTTTTGGGAAGGTGGTTTGCGAGTTGAGCTCATCTCTTCGGGTTTTTCCCTTGCAGTTTTCCCGCTGGATATAATTTGATTATCCAAAATGAGTATCTTATTAGCGGGGATGTCGGTGTTGGGTTTGCATTGGGGTTTGTTAGCTTCCGTCTTCTTTGTTTCAGTTGTGGAGAATAAGCTCCAAAATGTATCCAAAAACATGTTGCTTGTAGTTGGCTGTAACACATCGAGGATTAGGCAGGTGTATATTGCGTATTAAATTGGAAATAACCTGGTCGGTTAGCTGCTCGTCTGTTCGCTTTTTCTGTTCGATTTTTATGTTCAGATCTTTCAATTCCGCTGTCAAGGATCTTTCCTCGTTTTCGAGTTTGCGCATTTGGAGCATTCCCTCGGTATTTTTCTTCCTGTTTAACCATTTTTTAGCTAAATTGATGCAACTGGAGTAAAACAGTCTGTTAGAAATGTCCGCTCTGGATCTACTCTGGCGTTTGATGATTTCAATATCGTTCTAAAATTGTTAATACGTTAAATTAAAGAAGGTAAAATTGGTGTAATATTTTCATACAGTTAGTTTTTTAATATTGTATTTTATTCGTTTCATTTCGGCGTTCTTTTGAGTCAAAATCTTGCACTTGGGGTTCTTTTGCTCCAGGATTTGTTGCCGTTTTTTGAATTCCAGATCGAGTTCTTTTAATATTTCATCGCCTTTGTCTTTTTGTTGTTTGGATTTTAATTTTACGCATTCCACGTGTTCTTTTAATATCGAAAGAGACGTTATTAATATTATTTCGTTTTCCTTAAGGCTAAAATTAACAAATACAGTTAGACACAAAATATGCTATTAGTGCAATAAAGACTTCCATTGGTCTCATATAAAGGAAAAAGAATGATATTGTGGAATTGCAACTTTCTCACTCTAACGAAGTTATTCAATATAATCTTTCTTTGTTAAACTCATAGAAATGAGTAAGTTGGTTAAAAAATAGTAGGCTATTATTTACTTTTCGTAAATTTTCTTCAACATTTCGTTTTGAAGTTCTTGCTGCTTAATCTCTTCGGCTAACTTTTTATCGTTCTTCTTTATTTTATCTATTTCCGCGATTAATTTCTTGGTTTCTTCTTTGTACACTGCAAAGAAATGAATCTGTAAAATTGTTGATTAAATTAGATGCTCGCAATTACCGGTTATAATGGCTTCCACTTTCCAATCCTTGATTTTACTTTCACCGAAAGTATCGATTAATTTTCGCAGGTAATTTTCCATATTTGCGTCGAGATTGTTCATGGTTGAATCGGATAATTTATTAAAGCACAAAATGGAGAATCGATGCCACCTTAGATAAATTTGAAAATTTGAATTTGAAGGAAAAAAAAAACAGTTCCGCCAACTTATACATATGAAAAATAATTACACTGTTTTTATATCTAAAAATAGGTTAGTTTGAAAAAGAAGAAAAAGAAGTGATGTGTCAAATGTCAAAATAGTCACTTGTCGATTAGATTGAAAAGAAGAAAAGCATAGCGAACTCGACGAAATGGCGTTGTGTTGTGCCAGTAAGTAAATTATAAATTACTCGTATTTAATACTATTATCACCCCTTTTCTAATCAAAAATGCATATTACACTTATACATTACAAGCAAGAATTAAAATTGTATCGTTTTTTACTAAATACTCCGACACATTCGACCGGTAAACTAACCTAAATTCTGTTTTCAGTTTCTAACGAAGTACCAGAGCACCCTGTGGTGTCTCCTTCCTCTGGAGCCATTTTCGAGAGGAGAATAATCGAAAAGTACATTCAAGAAAATGGCGTTGATCCTATTAGTGGCAAGGAACTTTCCGCAGACGATCTCATCGAAATCAAAAGTAATATCTCATGTATATTTATCTACTTAACTACATACTTAAAAATCATCTCTTGCAGCTCCTCCGATCGTAAAACCGAAGCCTCCGAGCGCCACCAGCATTCCAGCTACTTTGAAACTACTGCAAGACGAATGGGACGCCGTTATGCTATACAGCTTCACGCAACGCCAGCAATTGCAAACAGCCCGACAGGAACTGAGCCACGCCCTGTACCAGCACGACGCCGCTTGCAGGGTGATAGCCCGACTGAACAAAGAAGTTACCGCTGCAAGAGAAGCCCTGGCTACTCTCAAACCGCAAGCTGGCATTACGACTGTGCCCCAACCCGTAGGAACTTTCGCAGTGTTAGTTTCTTGAGGTGTTAATGAGTAATGTGTTTTAGGCGGTGGCTGCTGAAGCTGCGGGTATAGCCAACCAACCGACCGAACAAGCCGGCATGAGCGCCGAGGTCATCGAAAAGTTACAGGAGAAAGCTACCGTTCTAACGCAGGAGCGTAAAAAGAGAGGAAGGACTGTTCCCGAGGAGCTTACCACCCAGGATCAACTGAGGTCTTTCCGTACATTGTCTTCTTTAATAGTAAGTTGAGATGTTGTTCGAGATGAATGTGTATTAATAGTTTATTATAGGGTCTTCATTCAGCCAGTATTCCCGGTATTTTGGCCCTCGACGTGCACCAATCTGACACCAGCAAAGTTTTAACAGGAGGAAATGACAAAAACGCTACTGTGTTTAATAAAGATACCGAACAAGTCGTCGCTATACTAAAAGGCCACACCAAGAAGGTCACTAAAGTTATCTACCATCCCGATGAAGATCTCGTATTAACCGGTAATGTACCCACTACTTTATAAATTACTTTTTTCCTCATTCGCTAATTTTTAGCTTCACCCGATGCCACGATACGTATTTGGAACGTGCCAACATCACAAACGACTCTGCTTCTGAGGGCTCACGACGGGCCTGTTACCGGTCTGTCCCTTCATCCTACAGGGGATTACGTTCTGTCGACTTCGGAGGATCAGCATTGGGCGTTTTCTGATATCAGAACGGGTCGTTTGTTGACCAAAATATCGGATAATTCGAACGTGGCTCTTACCACGGCTCAGTTGCATCCGGACGGTTTGATTTTCGGCACCGGTACTGTGGATTCCCAAGTTAAAATCTGGGATTTGAAAGAGCAAAGCAACGTAGCTAACTTCACAGGTATAATCGATTGGATTTTGATTTAAATTGGTTGTTTTACGAGTATGTTTTTTAGGACATTCGGGAGGTATTACAACGATTTCGTTTTCTGAAAATGGTTACTACTTGGCAACAGCGGCTGATGATGCTTGCGTGAAATTGTGGGATTTGCGAAAGTTGAGGAATTTCAAAACGTTGACGTTCGATGAAGGATATCAGATTAAAGATTTGTGTTTCGATCAAAGCGGTACATATTTAGCTGTGGCTGGTACGGACGTCAGGTAATTAATCCGATGGTATATTAGAACGAATTTTTTTTAATTTATATACATTTTAGGGTCTATTTGTGCAAGCAGTGGCAAGAATTGAAGGTTTTCAATGACCATACCGCAACGGCAACCGGCGTTAGATTCGGTAAACACGCTAGATTCATCGCATCTACTTCTATGGATAGAACTTTGAAATTGTACGGTTTAGAGTAAATAATAAATGTTCGTTTAGTTTTTAATTTATATTTTATACGTAAATGTATTTCATAAAAGCCATTGTTTGATTATAAATTTGAGGACGATAAATTAATAAAATCGTATCGACTTTTTATTAGTTTCAATTAAACCTTCCGTTTTCTAAATATTCGAAGATTAATTTTAATTAAAAGTGGCTGGTTGAAATTAGTAACCAGGCCATCAGTAAAGAAGAATATTTTAGTAATTTTTAATCGGAAAAAATATTAAGTTGGCAGCATTGTGACATATGACGTTCAACGAACGCGAACGCCCTCTCCGTAATCCATCACAAAAAGTGGTAAAACTACATGAAACACAGGTCAGTTTTTGGCGAAGTCCACAAGCTTTTTAAAAATTTGTAAGTTATTTGGTAAATCTCACCCGATTAAAGTTCGCTCATTGCAATTAAACATCTCAACGTTCCATCAGGTGTGTAAAGGCGTACTTATAAACGAGTAAAGACGACGATATCGGCGATTACCACCGGACTCGGGTCTATAATGGCAGCCAGCGATTCAGCGGGCGATGATTCTTTGTATCCCATTGCCGTTTTAATCGACGAACTCAAAAACGAAGATGTTCAGGTATGTTTTTGCAATCGAAAATTCGTAAATGCTCGATTTGTTTCTATTAAGCTTCCTGCGTACGAAAACATCGAATCTGATTTAACCCCTTCTCGGACAAATTGACATTTTCTGTCAATTTTTTGCCTACCTTTTAATTCACGAGTGGATTTTATATTTAAATGATAATAATATTGTGATGAAATGTTTGATATCAGATTTAATTGGATTTTTTCATTTTTATGATTCACTTACATGATTCATTTTAATATGTACCTACTAGGTAGGTCCTGGACTTTAATTCTAATAACGCTTTTATCAAATTTATGTTATTATTATTATTATTAATCCTATTAATTAATTACTAACGATTTTATTATTGTACTCAACTGATTACACAATCCTTGTTAATTAATTCCAGCTTCGCCTCAATTCGATAAAAAAACTATCAACAATCGCCCTTGCCTTGGGCGTGGAACGTACGAGGACGGAACTCATCCCTTTTTTAACGGAAACCATTTACGATGAAGACGAAGTTCTACTGGCCTTGGCTGAACAGCTGGGCAGTTTCATCACACTAGTTGGTAAGTTTTCGCTTTGTTTTCGAACTCATTTCATTCATTTAACACATCATTTTGTAACAACCAGGCGGTCCAGAGCACGCCTACTGTCTCCTACCGCCCCTCGAAAGCCTAGCAACAGTCGAAGAAACCGTCGTCAGAGACAAAGCAGTCGAATCTCTCAGAGCCGTGGCTCAGCAACACACACCGCCCGATTTAGAAAACTACTTTGTACCGTTGGTCCAGAGATTAGCCACAGGAGATTGGTTTACAACTAGAACGTCAGTTTGTGGATTATTTTCCGTACGTACAACCGCCCGCAGCATAAATTCGTGTTAAATTTTGGGCGTTTCTTTCGACAGGTGTGTTATCCTCGAGTGTCCGCTGTGGTGAAAGGTGAATTGAGATCGCACTTTCGAGCATTGTGCCAGGACGACACCCCGATGGTGAGAAGAGCCGCGGCCACCAAACTCGGCGAATTGGCGCAGGTCGTCGAGCTGGAGTACTTGAAATCAGATCTGATACCGCTGTTTGTTAACCTAGCCCAAGACGAACAGGTATTTATATTGATACACGAGCACCTTCGATGTTTATTATAATGATTGATGGCGTTTGGTAGGATTCGGTGAGGCTGTTGGCGATAGAAGCGTGCGTCAGCATCGCCACGCTGCTGCAACAAGAGGACGTGGAGCTGCTGGTGATGCCCACGTTGAGGCAATGCACGGGCGATACTTCTTGGCGCGTTCGGTACATGGTGGCCGAGAAATTCACCGAATTGCAAAAGGCCGTCGGGCCCGAAATCACGCGAACCGATTTGGTGAGCGCCTTTCAAAGCTTGCTGAAGGACACCGAGGCCGAGGTCAGAGCGGCCGCCGCGAATAAGGTACATCATCATCGTCGCGCGATTGGTTTTTGTATTAAATAATGATAAATTTTGTCGTAGGTAAAAGATTTCTGTCAGAATTTGGATAAGGCTCATCAAGAGAACATCATCATGTCGAACATCCTGCCGTGCGTGAAGGAACTAGTTGCCGATCCGAATCAACACGTCAAATCGGCGTTGGCTTCTGTCATAATGGGTCTGAGTCCGATACTCGGCAGGCATAACACCATCGAGCATTTATTACCTCTATTTTTGACGCAACTGAAAGACGAATGTCCCGAAGTCAGACTAAACATTATATCTAACTTGGACTGTGTTAACGAAGTAAGTTTATCTTATAGCTAACTACATTAACATTTTACTAACAATCTATTGTATTCTAATAGGTCATAGGAATACAACAACTCTCCCAATCCCTCCTGCCGGCCATAGTAGAATTAGCCGAAGACTCGAAATGGCGGGTGCGATCCGCCATCATAGAATACATGCCCCTGCTGGCTGGCCAATTGGGCCGGGAATTCTTCGACGAGAAACTCAACACGTTGTGCATGACATGGCTGATGGACCACGTGTTCGCCATCAGAGAAGCGGCCACGTTGAATTTGCGCAAGCTAGTCGATCAGTTCGGCGCCGAATGGGCCGAGACCACGATCATACCCAAAGTATTGCAGATGTCGCGCGATCAGAACTATCTCTACAGGTACGGTGGACTAGAATACGATTCGATCGAGCTTTCGAGCGACTGTAAATTAATTTTTTTGATTGTCTATTAGAATGACGTGCTTGTTCTGTATCAACGTGTTGGCGGAGGCCTGCGGCAGCGACATAACCACCAAATTGCTGTTGCCCACGGTGCTGAGCATGGCAAACGACAAAGTGGCCAACGTGCGGTTCAATGTGGCCAAAACGCTGCAGAGGATAGCGCCGCAACTCGATCAATCGGTGATCCAGCCGCAAGTGAAGCCCGTCCTCGACAAGCTCAACGTGGACAACGACGTGGACGTGAAATATTCGGCATCAGAAGCGATCATGGGCATTGCTGGTAAGTGGTTCGATGCGGAGTAGCCGGTGATGTTGTGGTTGTATATATTTTTTTTTGTGGTTGTTTATATTAGTGGAATTCTCTCGTCGTTTGATGACTGGGTGGTTGAATTTAATATCAATTTTGTAAATCGTTATTTCAGTCCAAACGAGACTTCACAAATCAAGATTATAAAATAATAATGCGAGAAGATTGAAATGGAGCGTAATAGAGAGGCGAGACATTAACCCGTAATACATGAAATTATCGCAGTTTAACTTTTTTTTTTGTTGGATTTGTTATCTTTTAAATACATGAAATAATACTCATATTCTGAGCATTTCATTAAAAATTTTACTTTTTTGTTTTATTTTTGCAGCTTTAGGTTGAGTAATAAGGGAAGTAAGAGGATCATCAACCGTTAATGAAATATTAAAGAGTAAGTAAGATAACAATATTATAAAATGATGTCAAAAACTGAAAATAGATTTATAATAAATTACTATGATTATATAGATTGTAATATCACTATTTGTTGTGTCCGTTTATTTCAATAAAAAACAAGTGTAATATAGAGTTCTAGCCGTATATAATTTAAACAAATAACCCTTAGTGGAGTCATTTTTGAAGAAAATAATACATTTTGGAGACAGGTTTTTTTAATAGCAAAAAGACATAAAATGATATTTCTACGTCATTTTAAAATAATTTATAATTAAACTAATTGTCTTCCAATTGTCATTGTTTTGTTTATTCCAAATGAGCCTTTGAACTGTTCACAAACTATTATATTCCATTAATACAAAAAAATTCAAGAACAAGTATCTATGGAATTGACTAGCGTGTAAACTGATCAAACGCTGATCGGGAACGAAATCAATAAATAATGATATATTAATGTGATTTTAATATTCTACACGATTCAAATAATAGTAACCAATTTCGACTATTGTTTTTTTATAATATTGAGGAATTTCTTATATTCCTAAAAGTTACATATCCGATTAACATGTAAATATTTCAACGTGACTCCACTATCAAATTTTTGTCGCCTACTTATTTCTTATTTTTAATTTGCCGCAATTGTTTAATCAATACTACAACTCAAATTATATTCGTTCGAGATATATCGGTTCATGTTTTTTTTTATAAAATAAATTGTTTTTTTGTATTATAAAATTAACTTAGTCCTTTATAAAATAAATTAAGTATGTACCTATTTCTTCTTTCATTGCAAATCGAGACGCGCTGCACCTTAAAACGTATATTTACACTTAAAAAATATGTATAAATTCTACTGTTGCAGCCTCTTCAATTCCTCCGCTATGGAACGCAATTTTAATTCATCGATCGATTTGTTCGTGTTCTCTTTATTCTCGACGCCGAGCCGCTCCTTCGATTTAATCCTATCGCTTTGCTCTGCTATTCTAATTCTGGAATTCGCTTTGTTCCTAGACTCCGCCTTCTTTAGCGAATTACTCGAGCCTTCGAACAAACTTTCTTGTTTGCCGATTAGATTAATTCCAGAAGCGTTTTCTATCGGTCGTTCTAACAACAGAGCATTTTCGTCATCCTCGTTTTTATATCCTCTGTTATCATCATCCGAGCTTTCCGCGTTCGTCGAAAACCCCCCGTGAGTTTCCTACAACAAACGATTATTCCACCGTAAGTATACTCACGGCACTCGCATCGAATCTAACCATTATCTCTATTATAGACTTCCCGCCCGAATACCCGAAATCTCCTCTCCCGAACACCCAGCCGGGCGCGAGGCCCCTCGGCTCGCCCATGATCGCGGAATTCCTCGCCGACGTGTACAGTATCCTCGAAACTACAAAGATTAATATCTACAACGAGCGCATCGATTACGAATTCCGCCGGCGCGCTCGCGCTTACGTGAACCAAGCACATGACGGACGAGGACGCCACGAAGGCCCTGATCACCGCTTCTATGGGCCTCCGCATCGAGTCCAAGCAGCCCTTCGTGTTGATGGAATCCGTTATGATGTTCGGCTCGTCGGTCCAAATGTGCGAGAACTCCCGTTGCTGGATGGGATCGTGCAGACACTGCAACGGGAAATCCACCTTGCAACAACTCCAAGGCGTCACCGGGAGCTTCGGAGCTTCTACCTCGCTCGGTTTTAACCTTGAATCGTACATTAGTGTTATGTAGTTAAGTGTACGTTCGCTTTAATACTGTTTTATAATGTCGGATTTCAAGTCTACGTGGTACTTCGTCAGCCATTTCGTTTCGTGCCAATCTTCGTACGAAGCCGATCCGCAACACTCGTTGGCGTATTGCAGCTTGTCGATCATCTCCTTCCAGGTTATATCTTGGAGATATTGGTTCATGCCGTTGGCGAGGGACTGCTTGAGGGAGCGCGCGATGTACTTGTTCATTTTCCTGGCGAAATGCGACAACACCAGCAGCTGGATGATGGTGTTGGTGCCCATGGTGGTCCACAGAACGAACAGATTACCGGTGCTCTTCCTGCGATACAATACTAGCGGATCGGATCGGTTTGATGGCGGCGGAGTGCGCTTACCTGCTGGCCTGCTTGAGGCACCTCTGGCCGATGTTGATGCCGACTATCCAGTGGAATATGACGTGGGTGCCGTAGAGGCCGGTGACGGCGAACACGAAGTTCACCTCGGACTTTTCCGCGTGCAAAACGGGCGCTACGGCGATGATGACGTAGAGCGAGGAGCCGGTCATTCCGCAGCCCAGGATGATTTGAACGGCGCACAGAAAGGCGAAGAGCGCCGCCAGGCCCTTTCGCTTCCTTTGGGACAGTATGAACATGCCCACTGCCATTTTCGATAAAAATTTTCACAACGACTTGCCTGTAAAATGCTTGACATAACGTCAAAAGTCAAAGCGACTGCCGTTTTGATTAATATTGTGCACAATAATGGTCCGTATTCAGCGCATCTGTTTAACTTTAGAGTGACTCTAAAGTCGCGTCGTTAACTTGACAGATTTACATTGTTGTTACGCAGTAACTAGGGACCCGAGTCACTCTAAAGTTAAACAGAGGCGCTGAATACGGTCCATTTAAATAGTTGAAATGAAACAAAACGAAGCAATGTTATTGTTGTTTATTGCGTTGTACAAAATTCTTAACGTGACTCTCCGCTACATTAAACAACACAGTCCCTTTTCGCAGGAAATTCCCGACGATGGCTCTTCTGTAGCATTTCAACAAGGACAAATCGCGCTCGTGAGGCTCCAACAGCAAATTTACATCGCCGATGTACTGAAATTCGAGCAGTTAGGTACATTAAATTTCGTACAAATAAAAGCCTTACTTGTTCGGGAGTAACGTTGCAAACTTGCACTGCTCCCATATACTCGGACCAAAGGGTTTTCCTGAATTGCGCGTCGTGTTTTTGAGCCAGAGGCGCCAAAATCACGTTGCCGAAGAGGGCGTCTCCGTAGCTCACGCCTTGGTACTGTTCCAGTAATTGCGTGTAGAAGTTTTGGAAGTTACTCAAGCCTGTAAACGATGAATTGTTATGAATCCTTGAGATTTTTCGACGCTATGAGGCGCTTTACCTTGGATTTCCCTGTCGAAATCGAACTCCTTTTCGTGCTTGGCGACGTTCCTGTAGCAAAGCTCCAAGAGATCGTGGATTTCTTTGGTCAGGAACAAATCGTCGCTGGCTAGAAACACGCAGGCTAGCCGGCAAAATCTGTCTGTAGGATTGATCCCGGAGGCCAATAGTGGGAAGTAAGTTTCGTAAATTAAAATCCATCGAAGGCAATTCCTGATTGTAAAAATTTGCTGCACCTCGTCCAGCTGGGACCTATTGAGCTCCTGGTTCGAGTACAGCATTAAAATCGGAGTGTATATCCAGTCTACGGGCAACACGTTGCCTATACTCGCGTCTAAACAGCAACAATTTGACAAATCCACCGTTTCCTGTGGAGTAGTTGTGTGAAAATTACGGATTGAATAATATAGAGGGAGAAAACTCACGTTTTGTAAACCCAACACTTGCGTGTAAACTTCCAAAATCTCGGGTAAATTATTCAAAGAAGTCTCTAAACTCAAAGTTCTCTGATTCAAGTCGAGTTGCCTCAAGAACACCTCGCTCGGATAAAACTTTGAGCAGAATATAATGTTTTCCAAAACGTATTTAATATCAGCTTTTTGCTCTGCGTTGAATACACACAAACATTTCACAGCTAATTCGTAGAATATCGAAGTATCCAGTTCGCTTCTGATATCAACCGATGTTCTCAGAATGTTCATCAGAATAGCAGTTTCGGGTTTCGCGAACCAATGATCGCTCAAATGGTACTTATCCAACGTTTGCAAAGCTTTTAGGTACTTCTGTACATTCGGGTGGTTCAGGAAGGTTTTTTTCACCTGGAAAAAGTCGATTATCAATCGATTATTAACGAGCATCAGAGCATGCGTACTAGCAAATGATCGGTACTATCAACATACGAAGAAACTGAATGCAAAAATGGCAAACAGCTATTCGCTTGCATCAAAGGCACCACGTGGTTCAAGGAACTCCAACAGGCTACTTCCAAACCCTTCAAATTACTGCTCGATTTGTGAACGCTCTCAAATCTACTGTACAAAAGCATCGAACCGCTCCTAAAATACACACGATTTACTAAATACATCCTAGTTAAAAACTCTAACTTACTCTATTCGATCCGTGATAATACTGAACCCTTCAGAATCGATCAATCGCAACACACTCGCATCGATTTCCTCTATCCTCTCGCACGATCTCACAGCCGCCAGGCAACGAACCAGCGAAGATACCAACGTGAGTTTGCCGCACTAAAACATTCAATTAAACTCGAATAAATTCACGAAACCCAAACTCACCGAGTACTCCGTCGATGCGCACAGCTGCGCCACCCATTTGGGCGAGCACTTGCGAATTAGCAGCGGCAAATAGGGGGCCACCAACGAGCATTTCCTCGCCGCAACCCGAGACAGGAGCCCCAGCAATCCGGCTGCGTGCCCCAATCGCACGTAAGTGGTACCCGCGCTTATGTTCGTGGTTTCGAAATGGTAGTTTAACGTGCTCATCAACACCGGTTGTAGGATGCTGTAAATTCATAGTTAGGCGAGTAATGGATGGTTTGATTGACGATTACCTGAAATAATCCAATGCTAAATTGTAGTGGATTAACAAGCTGAAGCTGTGGAAGCACTCCGTTTGGAGTCTCAAACCGTTCACGTTCGAAGAGAATGTATCGTTGGAAAGGTACAAAACGAGAGAATCCAATATTTTGTACCTAAAAAAAGTGTTTAATATAACATTGATGCAAAGGATTTTTTATCTTACTTATTAATAAACGTTTCTGCTAAAGCTTTGCTTCGGGAAGATATCACCCGGAATAATTTAACGGCTTGAATCAGTGGTACACCGTAGGGTGATGAAGATGCGTTTTGATCAAGCGATTGAGGAATAAAATTAGATACGATGCTCCCTATGAGATTCTCGGTTTCCATTACTCTCTTTAGCAAAAATTCCGAATCCCTCGATAATCTAATGAGGATTTCTATACAGTAAACGATCGTTTCTAACGGAGGTTTTACTGTATTTATAATGTATCTGCAACAAAAACGTAGCAATTAACAATAATTCTTAATTAACGAATGTTCTATTCACCTGATTCTTGTAAGTATCTCGGTCCTAGCTAGGCATTTAACGATATTTTTCTCTACCAATTGCTGATCGTTGATGGTATTATCATCGTCAAGTTCATGATCAACAGCCAATACAGGTTGAACGAAACCCAAACCGAAGCCTGAAACGAGAGATAAATAAAGATATTGTGCGAATAAATTAATTGAAAACTGCACCTAGCAAGCCATCGAGGCAAGTTTCATCAATTTCTGAATACACCAAATTCCTCATAGCTTTTACGCTAGCGTTTAGTATCGACGGGGTGTTATCGTCCAGACAGAAACGGATTACAAAAAATATTTGCTCCAATGGCAGATCGATTATGTCGTCGTATATCCCCGATGAATTTAAACTGAGAATGTTCGCTATGGAATTGAGTGCGATAATTTTTTGTTGCAAAACGCTAGACCTAAAAAATGTGTTTTATTAATATAAATATTTATTAATTCCGATTTAAATGCGTGTAAGAATACCTAGAAAGTTGTAGTAATTCCTGTAATGTATACCCAGGTCGTCCGGGGTCTTCACCATGATGGTACAACAGCCTATTTTTTTCATTTATATCCGACTGGGAATACGGTAAAATAAAACCTTCGAAATCAAATCTGTAAAGTAAACAAATTGTATTCAAAATTATCATATTCTAACATTCTATTAATTATTAACCTGGCTTCGAATTTTTCAGCTTTCAACTTCGGAATGTCCACGCTTCTCATCCAAGCTAACTTATTGGTTTCTACCACGTTGAAATTCAACCAGTTATCAGATAAAGGCTGGTTTAAAATTTCAGAAGTCGTGGCAATTTCCTCGATTTTTATATCTTCTGCTACTTCATTTTGTTCGCTTATGGAGGGCCCTGTAGTCTCGACGATTGCCTTGTTTCTTTTGGATCTCAAAAACTGAACAATAGCTGGGTCCATCATGGACATTAATTTTTCTTTCTCTTCGATAAGCTCTTCTTCGGTCATGTTTTTCATGATGTTTAGATTTTCCTCGTGTATTGATGTACCTTCGCTTCCTGATAGTATGTAACTTTGCATAGGTAAATTGGCTGTGAAGTTTTTACTATTTGTAGATGGATTTTCATTAATTACTACATTGTCAACTTCCATTGACGAATCTGTGTCTTTTTTTAATTTTTTCATTTGCTGGGCAAATATGCTACCACCTTTACTGGAAGTTATTGATAACTAAAAGAAATTTATATGAAATATGTTCGTATAGTAAATAATACACTCACATCTCTTCTTTTTGCCTGAGGGAATCCTTTATTCACTGTATTAAACTTAAATGATGAGTGGAAATGCTCAGAATTCCTCTCTACAATATTTTTCAAGTTACTGTTAGAAGGAATGGCCTCAAACGTATTGGCAAGTTGCTCTGTAATATCCACACTGCTGTTATCAATACATTCAACATTACTGGTGGATGTTGTAGGTTTATCTAGAAGTATATTATAAATTTTTTTAAACTAATTAGTATTAAAATTGTACCTTGAGTAGTGTTGCTAATTACTTTAGCTGCAAGTTTAACTTTATTTTCAGCTTTGTTTTTTTCAAATTCTTGTTGAAGACGTAATATATCTTCCTCACTTTCGCCTGGCTTCGGTCTAGAGTACATTTTAAACTTATTAACTCGCTTTAATACCTAATAAATTGTTTACTCGAGTAGAGTTCAAAATTATAACATAACCTCAAATAACAAATCTGAAGTTAATGTCAAAATAAAAGTGGCCTGTACACATAACTGAAAATAGAAACCTGTCACTTTAAAAAAGAAGAATTATAGATTATTTATCTGATGAAAATTTGAAGAATTGAAATGTGAATGTTAAATGTAAATGCCAAAGTCTAATTTGCAATGTCTAAATAAACAACAATGTTTTTATTAAGCAAATTAGAAATAACAACAACATGATATAATTACTAATTATCAACAAGAGCCAGTACGGAAAGTAGCATGTCGGCCAATTCTGTTCAGGACATTTTCGAAATAAAATCCATTCTAGAAAATATAAGCATAAAATTCTGTGCGAGATGCGAAAACGGCGTGAAACAATTACTAGCGTTAGTTACGAGGTAAATCCATCATCATAAACTTTAACATATACTAAATAGAGGTTAATTTTTTAGTGATGGGGACGTAGTGCTTCACTACACCTACGGAGAGTTATGCCCCGTACTGAAAAGAATCCCTTGGTTCAACGACAGCTTCAAGCAACTAGAAGCCATCTGCTTCGACCCCTCAGCTACATGGTTACTAGTAGTTTGTGAGTTTATCCAGCAACCGCTCGATTACGATCCCACTAACACAAATACATTTCAGCTTTAGACTGTTCGCTCTACATCATCCCGGCGCTTAGTTTGGTAGACAAAAAGCAGAAGATCGACTGCAAATGGTCGCTGACCGATCTAACGCACTTCCCGAGGCCTGCCCAAATACCCGACTCCAAACCCACCAGCGTCATTTGGTGGCAAACGTTGGACTGCAACCAAAACGCGCTCGTCGGCTTCGAAAACGGGGCTGTCGTCCTAATAAGTCTAACAGACGGAAGATGCATCGGATCCTGCAGCATCACGGAAGGCGTGAAAGATTTCGATATATGCCACGATAACAACTTGGATGTTTCCCTATTGGTTAGTTACGAATTAATGCTAATATTTTGAGGTGTAATTTGTGTGTTTTTTTTATCAAGATTAACGGTACTAGCGGTCAGCAATGGAGGTTGGTACTAGAGCAACACCTTACAGGATATCTTTGGCCTCCGGAAGCTCACGTACAAGTAAAAGTAACCAAAGAAATCGTTAACTTTATATCGATATATCATCGTTTACAGGCCGACGATTCGACTAGATCGCGATTGTACAATTTGAAGCAACTAGGCGTGGATAAATTGGCTTCATTGAAGCAACGTTTGACCGAATCGAGGAGCAATCGGAGCGATTGCCAAAGCGATTCGGCCAGCGAATGCTCGCGCAGCGAATCGGTGAGTTCGGTGGCATCGGGACCGGAGCTGTTGCCTCATTTGTGCGAGACCCATTTCGCGCCGCAGTACGCCAGGAATAGGTACCTTTTCACGGCGTTTTACAAACCCACCAGTTTGCTTACCGTAAGTATATCATTTACTGGTAATCGGGTTGTTGTTTAATCGTGCGGATTGCAGGTACACGCAGTAGACGTCGAATCGGCTCCTTTGTACGTATACAAATTACCGCAGAGAACCTCATCGGTTTTGCTAACAGATAGGTTGATATACACTGTACACGATGAATCCAAATCCATCTCGGTGATCAGTTCGCAGTTGTGCGAGTGTAGATTAGAAGGAGAATCGGTGAGATGATTTTATCGTAGAAATCGCTTCCGTGTTAACTCGTGATGCTTTTAGGAATTCAACAGCGAAGCTGTGGTGGCGCAATTTTACCTCGAAACCGGGAAGATACTCAAGCTGTTCAAATTGAGCGATTTGACGACGGTGCGATCGAAAAAGCGCGACGACCACAAGAGGGACAAATTCTTCGAGCTGCCCTCGTGCGTGGACGATTTGAACCTGCAAAAACCCCGAATAGACACTTGCGTGGTGGTAACCGACAGCAGCGTGTACAAAATTCGCGTCAGGTAAACCGTTCGTAACTCGCACGAAAACCAATTCACGCGAAATTTCATTTCAGCTGTTCTCCCACGAAGAAATTCGTCGACTACGTGACGGAGGAGCACGATTTGGAGAAGGCCGAGCGGCTATCGAACATATTCGGCCTCAACATCCAGCAGTTGCTCGAGTGCTGCGGGGATTTGTTGATATCTCGCGGTTCCTATCACTCGGGCATTATATTCTACAAGGAGGCGAAGGTGCATTTGTTGAAGCGCGTCCTGAAATTGGCCGTCTCGGCCGATTGCAGGACGCTGTTGAAGTTCATACATTTGTGCCTGAGCGCCAGTAAGGTGGATATGTCGATAGCCACGAAGATTCACATCGGAAATTTGGCCGTGATGGCCTACACGGAGTTGATATTGAGATACGGGGGACACCAGAGGGTTTCTAACACCAAGGATTTTATGTGAGGCATTTTAATTTGTCGCTTGTTGGTTAATGAGTGTGTGTTTTTTTTTAGGAATTTTCTATCTTTCGAGGAATATTACGATCAAATTCTAGCCGTTAATGTAGCTTGTCAAGCCGGCCATTGGAATATCGTTATGCTATTAGCGAAATCCAGAGGATTACAACCCGAAGTCGTGACGGCTTTAGGGCAGATTTTGCAGAGCGCCAGGGCTCCCAAGCCCACCGAACGGGATTTTTTGTATTGCATTTCGGAGCCTTGTCTCACGCAAAGTCTGTTGATATTCGGGCAATGTTCGCAGCACATTTTTCAATACGTCAGGTACCCTTCATGTACCACTCACTTACTTCTAAATAATGAAGTGGAAATGTTACAGGGAGAACGTGGATGTTTTCCCGGTGGAGATATTGCGTCGACTGGCCGTACAATTGGACCCCAGCCAACCTTCTGCTGTATCATTAGTCAGCAGGCTGTTTCAAACGAGCAAATACTCGTCTAGTTTGGATACTACCATAGAATCGGTCGATTTCGAGAACCCCGATAGAACCGTGGTGACCGTAAAAGATCTCATCGATACATTCCTAATCGTTCTCGTACACCTAGTATGGAAGACTGAAGTAAACGGGTGAGTCGCCCACAACAAACGTCGAGATTTTAGCATTAACAACGTCAATTTCCAGTTTCGAATTACCGCTATTAGACGTCATCAAACCGCCCGAAGCGCCTCCGGCGCCGCCATCGATACGGAAACTGCCCGATTTGCGACCGTTGGACTGCGGCTTCGAGCACGCCGCGGTAGTTCGCAACAATTGCGCCTACACCATGGGCGTTTCGAATTCGGGCTGCCTCGGCTTGGGGCCTCTGTTGACGCAGAGCAGCCCGCCTCGTTTGGTGCAAACGCTCTCCGAGCTCAAAGTCAAAGTGCTGAGCGTCAGTTGCGGGAAGCGACACACGTTGGCCCTGACCGATTTCGGGGTAAGTTAATCAATCGCCTGGTAATGGTCGCGCTTTTATTACACGGTTAACATATAAATATAATGTGGCATCGGTGTGTGGAATTGTAGTCGTGTTTCCTCCTTCAGGGTAAGAAGTAGTTCTGAAAGAAATGAAGTTTGAGAGAGTAGTTATGAAGGGGAGTAAAGGAAACTTACGGCTGGATCGAAATCGTAGAGGCATTTGGATATTTCCAAGGCCGCTTTGCATTTGTTGTCTAAAGATTTGGCTGCGTTTTTGCAGTGCTTGAAAGCTCCCGTGGCGCTTTTTAGTAGAGAAGGCGGCGCGTTGGCTTCTAGGACTTTAAGGCCTTCTTCCCAGTCGAAAGTGTTGTCTTTTTTCATCTGAAATCGGCGTTAGTTTTGGACTGTTATACTCCGTTCGCTATCGGAATCGCTTCGTCTCCTGATAGCGAACGGAGTATAATGGGTTGGAATTTCGAAGCAAGTACTTACCAGTTTGTAGGTCATCATAACGCAGTGTGCGTAGCACTGGAAAATGAATTAAATTTAGCAGTTTATTAAGAATCCCGAGGTGGTTTTCTTACCATTGCAGGCTTGTCGTCGAAATCGAAAATCCCCTTGTACGTATTGTCCACTTTTTCTGCAAACAAATTCATTTTTAACTGCATTTATAGAGGGCTTGTGGGCTCGATTTACCTGGAGCTACTCCCGCTTTATTCGTGCAGGTATTTCTAATTAGCTTTTTCGTAGCGGCTAATTGTTTTTCCGACATCTAACGAAATATATTTAATAGAGTAAATATCTCTGAATCTCGGATAGGATCGTACTTACCACGGAGAGTCCATGCTGGACGCAAACGCATAAACACAAAAACAAGAAAATGTACTTCATTTTAAACCGATCGAGGAACGTCTCGCGAAAGAGTACCGCTTCCCATCTCGAACGGGGATGTTTTATAATCTCGCGAAATTCGAGACCCGCCAATTTGGGAGGCCTAATGACAAGTTATTAAAAATTGTTTATAAGAACGGGTAATTACATATTTTCGAACCGGATTTATTTCGAATAACGAACGAACGCTAAAAGGTCCTTTTAACGCACCGCTGATGGTCATATCAAATTGCACGTTAATTGATTACGCTCGGAAAACCTGCGCGCTCATTGCCGCAAATTTATTTTCCGGTTTTCCTCGATCTCTGTTATTTGTTTAAAAGTTAAATGCACGGTACGGATTTTTATGAATGAGCGAGCAAAATCGCCGTTTACATAATTCACAAATCACCGTGTTTTAACAGGAATAATGAACAAGAATCTTGTTAGGAGACTTGTAATTTATTAAGCCGTAATTGTATGGTGTTGTAGCTTTGATTATGTAGCATATTATTTCCTCCAAAGCAGATCCTTTAATGGGTGTAATGGAGAGGAGTACGACTTTTTTTTATTTTTTTATAAAACTACGAAAATCACAAAAATCGTTTTTAGCGACGTTGTCAACTTTCTTCTTACTCTGAAAAAAGGCGTTTGTATGTCTATGCTATAATTTATTTTTTGTATTTCTTGATACAGTTATGGTTTATTCGAAAAATATAGAGCGAACTTGTAATTGATATATAATCTTGAATTCTAAATTATTGTTTAGTAAAAATGGTAATGTGGCATCATCGAATGTATACTTTTTAAACTTGTCACTTGTCAAATTAGTAAAAACAAAAATTAACCTCCAACTAAATCAACTAATACAATTTTAAAATGTCTCATCCGAAGGTAGGTAAACCTTGTTTCATGCCGTTTTGTGAAAATTCTTCATTGTATTCTAAAAAAGTGTTTATTTTTGGCCCAATAAACTTAAAACAAAGAAATTATAATCATATACATATAAATATAACATAACTCTAGATATGTCATCTGTCATTTGATGAATTTCAGCAACTGAACACTGCTTCGAGCTCTAATGACTTATTTCTATTCATATATCTGGTTAAATCTCACATCGTACTCCTCTCCATTGGTCACACAATCGACTTAAAACCGTCATTTCTCGAACTCGCAGGTGTTCTCCTGGGGCTCCAACGCCTACGGCCAACTGGGCCTCGGCCACCAGGTCAACGAGAGCCCCTACCCGCAAATACTGCCCGCCCTATCCGCCAGCAAGATAATCGACCTGGCGGCCGGCCAGTACCACAGCGTGGCGCTCGCCTCCGACGGGCGCGTCTTCACCTGGGGCTGGGGCATCCACGGCCAACTCGGCCACGGCAACTGCGACAACGAGTTCCTGCCCGAGCCGCTGGACTTTCCGCACGTCGTGCGCCAGGTGGCCGCCGGGCACGCGCACACGCTGCTCCTCGCCGACGACGGGAGGCTCTACGGCTTCGGCTCGAACGTCTTCGGGCAGCTGGAGGGCGGCGCCGGCGGCGCGAACAAATTCGCCACGCCTACGTGGCTGCTCGTCCCGGCCGACAGTCGCAGGCCGATCGAGAGAATCGCTTCGGCGTACTTTCACAACGTGAGTATAAAGGGTTGGGATGTTTGCGCAGTTTGCGAAGTTTCGTGGTGTTTTTGCGCAGATAGCCGTTCTGAAGGACCAGGAGGTGCATACTTGGGGGGCGAGTCCGCAAGAAGTGAGGTTGTTCCAATCGAAAAATAACCAGAAACAGTCGGGAAAACCGTCCGAATCGTGGAAAACTAGTACGCACATTTACACCGCCAGTGGTGGTAAAAAATCTATCGAACAAGTCGCTGTGGGGTACAGGCATTCTGTAGTTTTGCACAATGGAAAGGTAATTAATTCAGCTCTATTCGTGGAATTTTAAAGGTACTTACGAGTCGTTTTGCAGTTGTTGTGGGGTAAAAATCGAGACGAAGAACTGAGTTCGCCGAAACTCAAGCCGCAGGACGGCGTTAACGCGTTTTTTGTGCAAAAATTCACGCACGTTTCCTGCGGATTGGATTACACGATGGCCATCGATAACACGGGAAAGGTGCTGGCTTGGGTCAGCCCTTCAATGGCGCAGGTAACGGTCGATTTCGTAACGAGTAAACTTTGAAATCATCGCTCGTACCGTTCCAGACCATCCTAGGGAAGTCGGTGGACGACGACAACAGGAAACTCGAGAGCAAAGTGATCATCTTCAAGAGCACCAAGCGGGTGATCAAGATCCCCAACCAGGGCCAGCCCAGCGGCGAGTGCCTTCCCGTGGAGGTTCCCGGGCTACCGTCGATGGCTATAACCTTCAATCCGAGCGATCACAAGCTCCTGTTATCCAAAAATTTCACCGCGTACGCCGTGCGTGCGATAGAAAACGAGCAGGTGCTCGACGAGCAGGGAAACTCATCACCGTCCGAGAGCATATACGAGATTCCAAAGGTGAAATTCGGCAACAGGACGCTCCATTACGTCTTGGAAACTTACCACGGATTTTACGATACCGATAACGTGTTGTCGAAGTGTATTGAAGTAGAAAATTATCAGGTAAATGACGATTAACACTATAACATCGATTTCATTAGCTTGTTTAAGAACGTTATTCTTGTTGTAACATGTAGATAATTCCAAAAACTCGAACCTGGAGAGTTCTAAATGATTCTGGACAGTTATAAATTGTTCAGAAGCGTTCTAAATAATTTTATCCAGTTCTAAAGGGTTCTCGACAATTTTGATTCATCTTGAAGCAATCTAAATGATTCTGGATACTTCTAAATCATTCTGGACAGTTCTAAAGGGTTGTCGATAATTTTGATTCATCTTGAAGCAATTCAAACGATTCTAGACAGTTCTAATTCGTCCAGAAGCGCTCTAAATCATTCTAGACAGTTCGAAATGGTTCTCCGCTTGCATTATCATTTCGTTCGGGTTTCAGGCGGCGGCGAAAATAGCGATGCTAGACGGCCATTTCGGCGACAGCCTCGGCTTCCAGCTGACGGCGTTCAAGAAGCACCTGGACTCGCTGGACCTCGACCTGGACATCCTCGGCAAGTCGAAGGAGTCCCCGTCGGAGTCGAACGATTTCATCGAGCTGACCGTTCGTAACATCCAGGACGATTTGAACGAGAGGAATCTCGCCTATTCGAACAACTCCCCGGCGCACATTTTGAGCACGAGTTCCAGTCTGGATAGCATCAGGCAATGGGGCGACGACGTGGAGCACCAGGGCGGGAAGGAGTCGCCTTGCGAGGCGGATAACGGGGATATCAGGCAGAACATTTCGCAGTACGTGCAGTCTTTGAAGCAATTGGACAGTTCGCCTATCAATACGATATCGAAATTGGTGGCCGATAAGGAGAACGGGCAGGAGAGGGCCAAGCGAGAGGATCGCGAGTTGCTGATCAAAGATAAGGCCGTGGTGGAGATTCTCGAGGCCGCTTCGTATTTGGTCGAGTTTTATATTAGGTAAGTGTTTTTGGGTGGTAATTAATTGAGTTCCGATACTGCAGGATTGATGGAACACCGTGTAGCTCGAAAACTAATAGGTTTAGGACGTAAATTGATATAAACTTTTCTTCTTAAAATCGTCCAAATATTCACATCTTGAAGTATCGGCACTCAATTAATTAACATTCTGTATAATGTATTTATTTTTAGGAAAATATACATTTCGGAAAATCACATACTGATGCAGAACATCCTGATGAAGTGCATCGAATTTTGGCTGTCGAACAATCTGCCGGTGTCGGCTTTGGAAAGTGTCCTTCTGAAAAACATGGATAAGTATTTTTATCCTTTGTCGATTTTGCTGTTCTGCAAGGATTTCGGTAATCCCGACGACGAGGAGCTGAAGCCCGCGTCGTCCGGGTTTTTGAAAGAATTTTCGACCAAGTTTTGCCTTCAGCTGTGTTCCATGGTAATGGAGAACGTCGACAAAGTGTAAATTATTATTTTTATTTTGAAATTTTGCATTTATATTTTTGTCTACGCGAAATCGGCGGGATTTTTTATAGTCCGATTTCTAAACGGTTTGATAATGAAGCGTCAGGTATAGATGAAAAGTGATATTTTCGAAAAGTAATAATGAGTGAAAATTATTTCAATAATGCATGAGTAGTTATGCGCAGTAGTACTTTCGCTCTAGGAATCCATATTTTTTCCCGTAACAAATTATTGACTCTGTAATCGTTTCAGTAGGTACATATACAGGTAGATGCAAAAGTGTTTCAATTATGGTCAATTCTATGAGTTGGACAAAGACAGATTATTAAAATACAGTTGTTAGAGTGAGAAAGTTGCGATACCACAATCAACATTCTTTCTTTTTCCTCTCTATGAGACTAATTTTGCATTTACCTGTATAATTATATTGTTGACAATCGTCAAAATTTCCCTATGCTTATTTATGTAAGAACTAGTCAAAAAAGTTCGGTAGATCTCGTTATTTTTCAAAGTAACGCGGCTTATTTCAAAAAAATAATTGGTAGTTATAAACCTAATGGTCTTATTTCATGACGTAAAACGGAGTTAAATTCGCCTAAATTATTATAATATTCCATTTCAGAATGTACAATTATCTACAATCTAGTCAATCTTACTAAATTTACAGCACAAATTCCGTACATAATCATTTTTTGATAATGAATCTAGTTATTTCTGAATAATAAAAACAATATAATCAAGTACGTGTAGGAATAATAGTCGTTCTGTCAAGCAGAAAATGTTTATTGCTTTTTACGAGCTTTCAGTGTGTTCATGTTTTTGTACTTATTTTATTTTAATATTGAAAAGACGATTGAAAATCAATACTAAAAATTCTGTTTGGTTTTTTACATATTATTTAATTCGTTACGAAAACCACTTATATTGATTTGAATTTGTGATATTTTGGTCGAGATTGTTTTTTTACAAGTATCGTTTTAGATATCTTATTTGCTGCGATGTTAATAATTATATAGATTATGTATACAGATTGATAGTTGTATTTTTAAAAATAAAACGACTCGTTTAGTATGGGTAAATGTTAACCCTAGTTAACTTAATAACTGTCCAGTACGAGACCACCTATAAAAAATCCTTAGAAAAACAAGAATTATATTTAAAATGTGAAGTCAAAAAGTATAGGTTTTTCCACACAGCCCTTTATTTCTAAGGTCTATGATTTTGCATTAGAGAATGTGTCTCGTTATTTGAAGACTTTTTGAGTTTCACTTTTGCGCTGCACCGTGGCGAACGATCGGAGGATCAACTTATCTCAGCCAATCAGCGTCGCGCTATATATAAATCGCTGTTGTCAGACGACGGTTGACAGTTCAAGCTGTCAAAACTTCAAAAATTATTTTTTCGACAGTTCGAGGAGAAAATGGAGAAATATATTAACCGAAGATACGTGAGGCATGATGTTAATAAGAAAATCATCGCTGATTTAAGTAAGTATATTTTTATATTTTGTATCTATTTTTTGTTTGAATATTTGTTTGTTTCTTAATGCTAATTCTATATACTTCGTACGCAAAAAACCGTGGTCTTTTACAACATCGCCTCCTAGCGGCCGTTTTAGGAACCCTGTTTTATCTTTAAATAACGGGACACTTTTTCGACTTATGTTTCCAGACATTAGAAATAATCGATCGTAGTTTTCACCAAGCTCTTTGGTTTTCCCGTACTTTCTGATAATTTTATATTTATCTTTGTTATTGTTTTTAGTGCAATGTTAATGAAACATTGTCACTCTGTTTAGACTTTGCATTTCGTCACGCGCGATTAAATTATCTTCGAGGTTGACTGAAAATTTATATTATTTGTTATCACGTTACCATTAAATTGTGGTTTTTACCCAAAAATATCAGAGTGGAATTACCACTTGCGTTGATAATAAATATGTTCAAAAAATTAAATACTTACTGCAACATCGGAAAAAAACCTTGATTTTAATTGGTACAGATTATCCTAGAAGAAATTCCGGTTTTCGCTATTAGAGTCCGGTAAATTATTTTTTACGATTTTAATCGGTTTATACCGCGAACGTTAATCAATAGTTAAAAAAAATATCGAATTATCTTGTGCTTATAACGTCGAATTGTGTTAAAAATATTACAAGGAAAACTGTTCAATTTATTGCGCAAATCCAGTTCTTTGTCGGAACTATTTTAGTATACCATTTAAAGTTCATATAAATTCACACAGTTCACGCTTCCCATTCGATAAATCACAAACATTTTTATCAGTGTTAACCTCTCTTCGTCAAAAATGATAATTTATAAATAAAATCCGGCCGCGAAATTGCCAGAATATCCAGCCAGTCGCCGAAGAACAAACCTCCGAGAATCGCGTAAAAAATGTTCAATTTCCACACCGTCTCGCCGGTGCTACTGCTGTTGTTCGGCGTCGCGACGCCCCAGGACGGCGGCACCACTTCAGAACAATACAATCTAATTATCGAAGTGTTCAACAACTGTTCGTGCGTGCATTATTACCAGTGCAACAACAACACTATTAATAGAAACGGGGCGAATTTGATAAACGTGCGGTAAGACGCGATTCCATTTAAACAGCACATTTCTCAAATAACGATGGTTTCAGGGCTGGCGGGGACGCCGGCGAAAACAAGCCGATAGTTTGCCAAGGCGGATCGTTCGAAGGCGAATTCGTCTGCTGCGGCGCCCAAGACACCAGTATGACCCGCAAATCCGCCGACGGGGCTTCTTCTGACCAGCTGCGCGCGCCCGAGGACGTCGCGACGGAGAACCGGATGGAGACGAAGCTCGCCTGCGGTGAACAGCGCACCAACATCAACCCCAGGATTCTGATCAACGATAGCGACGAGATCGACGGCAACGCCGTCAAAGGGGAGTTCCCCTGGCTCGCGGCGATTTACAGGAGGAAAGGGCGCGGCCGGTGGAAGTTCCACTCGAGCGGCACCTTGATAAATCCTCGCGTGATAATCACCTCCAATCACTACTACAACGACGGGTAGATTATCAGAGATGATCTTCGTCGGTGCTCGATGATAAACGGAATTGTTTTGCAGGACGTCTCCGGATAAATACATGGTGGTTATGAACGGCGAAGTGGCGTTGTCGCGATCGGTGGGCGACGCGGCGCACCAACGTAAGGTAGTGGAAATCATCAACCATCCCAATTACGATCGAGATGCTCTGTATTACGACGTCGCCTTGCTGATCCTCGATCGACCGTTTTCGTCAAACAGCACCAATTCGATAAACTCCATTTGCCTGCCACCCGACGACGCCGACGAGACCACCGGCCGGTGTCTGGTGGCCGGTTGGGGAAGAGGCTCCGAAGTCGCCGGTAATTACACCACACGCTCGACCCGCTTTAGTGGTGCTTGATATCTATTTCGCAGGCGTTCCGGTGCTCAAACGCGTGGAAGTGCCCCTGGTGGGCTTCGACCGGTGCCAGGATCAATTGAGGAAGACGAGGCTGGGGGGTTACTTCGAGTTGCACAAGTCGTTCGTTTGCGCCGGCGGCGAGAAGAATCGAGACGCCTGCATGGGCGACGGCGGGAGTCCGCTGATGTGCTACGTGCCCGGCACGAGTCGCTTCTATCAGGCGGGCATCGTGGCTTGGGGCATCGGGTGCGGCGCGGAGAACGTGCCCGGCGTGTACGCCAGCACCAGGTTCGTCAAGGGTTGGATCGATGAGAAGCTGGCCGGCAGGAATTTGTAATTGTGTACACGTACGAATGGTAATTATTAGCGAATAAAAGTGCCGATACAATTGTGTAGGTGTAACGAAACAGGTAATTCATTTTGTTATATTTATTCTTTTATGGCTATAGATCGCTTTCACTCACATACTGTTTATATAAAAAGTAGCAGTTAGCAAAAGAATAAAATAAATATACAAAACAGTATGCGCAAGTAGTAGTGCTCGACAACGCGTTTGATTGTCTCTGCACCATTACAATATTTTATTATGTATAATATATTTTTATAATATATATAAGGCATTTTCGATCGTTCTCTTAAATATTTAGGCGAAAATCTAAAAGCACGACATTCCCTTTTTAACAGCCTCGTAAATAGCTGACCGAAATTATGAAGAAAAAATGTAGAAATAGTCAACAAAATAAATGTCTAACATTCGAATAACAAATAATAGCGGATTTGTCACGAAACAATCTGTACAGGTTGAGTTAAGTAACATTTAAATGAGACGAATTTACTCGCATTTCGCTTATTATCCCAACAAAACCAAAACCAAAAGGCAATTTGCTACAAATAAAAATTCCCTTCTAAATATAACGAAATAAAATTTCAGTCTTAAAACCACAATTTTAGTGATTTTATCGAGCAATTACTAGGCTGCTAATCAAGAAATGCTCTCTGCGTAATTTAATAGAAATGCAACAGTAATTTTCGTCTCGATTAAATGGTAAAAATATGTACAAATTAGAACCTAAGCATATCTACAATTAAATAATTACACTCTAATAATATTTATACAGGTTCTACATTTTTAAATATAAACACTCTATATTCGGTTTGCGAGATTTTTAGTGAACTACAAGTGTTTACTTAAAAAAAAAAACACCAGTTTATTCAAATATTGTCCTGGGATATCCCGGCAAGAGGAAATTTAATAATTTCGTAAAAACTCCTGTGCAATACAAACGTGATTAATTTAAGTAGAGTTCGATTAATAAACCCGCCGATCTTCTTCATTGTGTATTAACAAAAATTGACTTTTCTGGAATATTTTAGTTTTCTATACGAGAAAAATGCACTATTTACAACTCGTTTAACAGTACGGCAATGTAGAAAAACTCGTCTTACGTTTGCGAATAATTAAATTCTGGAATGTGAATACATTTTTTCTACAACTTCCAAAAAAAAAGCCGGCGGGAACGGGATACCGAAAAACACGGAACAACGCGCAACAGAACCTATTCCTCTCGACGCCCATCCGAGGACAACCAGAACATATGTAAAGGTATGTAATATATACAGTAAAACGTAAATATTGATGTGTTCCCTGGCCGATTGGACCGCCCTGGTCCCGCGCCTCCCTCGAAGGCGAAATCGGCGGCCAACTTTGTGGAATGTCAATTAGTAACCGAGTGGAATTTCACATCATTGGAATAAATCGGCGCGCTTCGTCGTTACGCTGGCGCGCCGGCAACGGAGCCCGTTTCGAATCAAATCGAATCGACCGATTCCATCGGGGGGTTTGTTTCTCTGTTAGTCGGGAGAGTCACCTGCAACACACGAAAAAAAAACACCCTGTAAATCGTAAATAGAGAAGTAGTGTAGAGTGTGAAGTGAAGAAAAATGAGGTAGGTAGTTTGTAGAATGGAGTCGTGATGATAGCTAATGTCCTGATAGGATGAGGCCAGGGTTAATTTAGGTGAAATAATGGCCTGGAATATGTAATCGGCTTATTGAGGCTCTTTCAACTATAATTTTTAAGTAATTGGATGATAAATAGATATTTCGAAAATTTTGGATTTTTTGAAAATTTCTGATTCTGTGAAACTTGTGGAGAATTGATTTTTCTACAAAATGATGAAAACTTCCTTCTTTTATCTCGATTGGTTTTCGGGATAATTTGAGTTTTTTAAAGAATTGCACTAAAATTTGGTTCTTTTCATGTATTTAAAAAAGTTAAAATATCTCGGAAATTTAGGATTTTTTGAAAATTTCTGATTATGTGAAACTTGTAGAGAATTGATTTTTCTACAAAATGATGGAAACTTCCTTCTTTTATCTCGATTGGTTTTCGAGATTATTTGAGTTTTTTAAAGAATTGCTATAAAAATCAATTTTTTTCTAATATTTTTATATAAAATGTCAAAACATATCGAATATTTTGGGTTTTTAAGATATTTTTGAATCCCTAAAGTTTGTAGAAACCTATTTTTTCTATAAAACAACAAAAATCCTTTACTAAACACTTTAAACAAAGCAAAACGGGCTACTCCATAACCCAACATCCTCAAAGAACGAGCCACCCTAAAACCAAAACAAAAAAAAATCCCCGTACCTAACGTCACACCGGTCCCACGACGCCTCTGACACCACTCTAAGCCGCGTAATCGATCTTCTCCCACGACAGCGTCGCCGTCAGATCGGCCGGCGTTCGCACGTCCTCCAAATTGAACGGATCGAACGGATCCGGCGCGATGCCCAACAGCGGATCGTAGCTGCCCAAATCCGGCTCGTGCGCCGCCCCCGACGGCGGCGCTTCGCCGCCGAACGGCCCGTCGCTCGGCAACAGCGACTCCAACCAATCGTCCGTGTCCATGGCGACGGTGTCGTCGTCGTCGCGCGGCTGCTCGTCGAAGTTGCCGTCCTGCTGGTTGTGGCAACCGCCCAGCTCCATCACCAGCTGCGAGAAGTCCAGGTCTTCGATGTTGTCCAGCGTTTCCAGCAGGTCCGTCGGATCTATACCTGGAGAACAATACGATCCTCTTGTTGGTATAATCGTGTATATAAATCTTCTACTGTTGGGTACTTACCTAAGGTGGCTTCGGGGGCATCGGAGTCGATGTGGTTGTGGTTGTGATTGTCGTCGAGGTGGTTCTGCATGAGGACCTGCGGCGGGTAGACGGGCTCGCCGGATTTGGTGCCGGCGGAGTTTGGCGTGAGCGGATCGTTGGCGGCGCTCGGCGGTAATTCCCCGTTTTTGATCAGTATCTCGAGCACGTCGTCGACGATTTGGCTCTTGATGTGGTTCTTTTTGTTCATGTGCTTGGTGGCTTCGTTGTATTGCGGCGGCGGCGCCGGCGACTTGGCGAATTCGATTTTGATCTCTTTGGGCGACTTCGGTTCGCTCGCGAATTCCGCCTTGATTTCCGGCGCCGCGATGATGGGTATGGAATTGAGGAAGTTGGGCGACGAATTGTTGCGACAATGGCCGTTCAGTATCTTCGCCTTGCCCTGCATCAGCTGGTTGTAGATCAAGGCGGCGTCGGCGCCGTTCAATATCAAACCGCCGGCGATGTTCTTCTGATTGTGGAAGTTGATCTGCTGCTGGATCTGCTGCTGCGCCTGCTGTTGTTGCTGCTGCTGTTGCAGCTTCTGCTGCTCCTCGTTCTGGCGCGCCTGCAACGCCTGCAACTGCTTCATCTGCAACACGAAGTTCTGCTGTTGCTGTTGCAGCTGCTGTTGTTGCTCCTGCTGCAGTCGGCGCTGCTGTTGTTGCTGTTGCCTGGCCTGCAGGTGCTTCTGCAGCGCCAACAGTTGGGCCTTCGGTTCGACGCGCGTCGCCGCTTGCAGCTTCAACTGGGATATGGTCAACTCCCGTTGCAATTCCTCTATTTGCCTCTGCTGTTTGCGCACCAGATCTTCGTTGGATTTTTGCTCGGGGAGTTTATGCTGCAGGGGGGGTTCTTGCATCGGTTGAGATGGCGGCGCGGGGCTCAGGGGATCGACGTCCATCAGCTCGGATTTCTCGTCTTTTAGCGACTCTTGTGGCGAATCTATGCTTTGGTACATCGGCGAGTTGTGGCATTGATCCATGCTATTGCTATGTACGGACGAATCTATGGACGAAGGGTTCTGATTTATGACATCGACTGATCCGGTGAACGGTTTCAGTCTTTCTATTAGTTGCGGTTTGGAACCGGACACGGGCAAACTGCGACGCTTCAATTCCGCTTTCAAATCGCTCACTTTCATATCCTCCAATCTGCCGGTTATCTTCGACGGAGTCGACGATTCCGAGGAAGTAGAGGGCGCCGGCGAGGGTTGTTGTACGTTGATATTACCGTTGTTGCTGGAACTATTGCTGCTCTCCGAAACGCTGGCCTTCTGCGAGGCGGGCAATATGATCTGCGGATATTTGTGCTGCAACTGTAACTGGAATTGCAAGAGTAACGTCTGCTGCTTCAACAGCAAATCGTACGAGCTCTCCTCCTGCTGTTGGCTCGCACTGGAATTCTTCTGCGCGTTCGGCGGCCCTTTGTATTCGTGAAATTTGATCGTACGCGCCTTCGGCACCGATTTGTTCTTCGACTTCTTCCGGTTCTTGTCCTTGCCGGACAACGAATCGCTCCGCACCGGCGACTGAACGGGACGGGACATCAACGAGACGGGCGGCGGAGGCGGCGGCGCCGGCGTCGCCGGCTGCGACACCACCGAAGGCACCGGACTGGCTACAGAAGATAGGGGACTCAACGTCGACGTCGACGATACCAACGACGCCGGGCTGGACGCCGACGCCTGCGACAACAACGGCGTCGCCACCGATCGGCACATATCCGCGAACACGATTTCGTTATTGTCTTTTTTCAAAATCGGCCCGGCCGTCGTCACTACCACAGCGTCCGCCGGTTGGATCAACGACACCACGATGCCGGCCGATTTGGCGGCCGTCTCCAGCACGTCCGACGGCCCCGGACTCAGCCGATTGTCGCCTTCGGAACTCTGCGAATCCTCCTCGGGATTGACGTAGTTCGACGGCAGCTGCGGCCGGTGCAGCTGACCCTCGCTGGTCGCCTTGTACGGTATCCGGCCGGTCTTCACCGCCTCCTCGATCGGCTCCTCCGTGTGCAGGATGTTCTTCTGGATCAACTCCAACGGGCCCGGCCGGTGCGACAGCTGATCGTTCAGGTGATCGGCCAGCTTCGCCTTCTTCAGCATGCGCTGGCGCTCCGCCAGGCTGGGATCCACGTGGCTCGGATCCACTTCGAGGATGTGCCGGCGCTCCAGCTCCTGCCTGGGCGGCCTCTGCTGGATCTTCGCCTTCAGCATGTCGCCCGTCTTCGCGCGCTCCAACTGCCTCCGTTGGCCGTGATACGCCGCCGGCGTCTTGTGGGCTACGCAAAACATTCATGGATATTAACAGACAAATATATAATATACAAGAGAATCTACTTGTTCAGATCTGCCACAATGGTGTTCCAGATTCTGAGGAAACTTTAAGTACAACAGTTAGAACTCTAACTTCAACAGTTAAGATTCCAAGTATATACAAAATTTAAGACTCCAAGTAGAGTCATGACTGCAAGTTCAAGAGTTAAGACACCAAATCAGACAGTTAAGGATACAAGCAGAAAAGGTATGACTCCAATTACAAGATTTAAGACTCTAAGTACAAGAGTTAAGACTGCATTTAAGACAGTTAAGGATACAAGTAGAAGAGTTATGATTCCAATTACAAGACTAAGGCTCAAAGTACAAGAGTCGAGCGCTGTTAGCAACGTTTAAAGGAGCCCGTGAAATAGATAAAAGAATTAAAAATTTGAAAGAGAAACTTACGAGGCATGATCCCTTGGGCCACCAGCTGGTCGAACGGTCGTCGCAGCAGCAATTTCACCTTGAGGGCTGCAAGAAACAGACGAGATTGAGCGCACATGTTAACGCGTCCGAGCGATCATGACGACGAAAAAACAACTACACACACAGCTTTTGAACGCGAGAGAGAGTGTGAAGAAACGAAAAAAAAATATATATGTATAATCGCGTAGGGTGTTCGGGAGCGCAGAGGCGGACACCCCGCCCCCGGAAGAAGTGCCTCGGCGACACTGACCCCGAGAGAACGTTACGCGAATTCGTCGAGCGTTAGCGATATTGGGCAATCCTCAGCGATCTGGCTCGAACAAAAAAAAAATAGTTTCTGCGGTGTGCCTGCGTTCGATTAGATCCGGCCTTAGAGGAAATGGTCTGGTCGCGAAATTGTCGCTGGCCCGACCGCTACATAGGTGCAATTACCGCGAATATTTTAAATTCAATTAATTTGATATATCGACCGGCCGCTGGAACTGAAACAATACGGCGTTAAATTCGCCGGCGGGTTCGTTATATGCATCAAAGCGTCGTTTAATTATAGGATTTATAAATTATAATGCCGCGCGCGTTAGACACCGTAAAATACATAACAATAACGAGCAATTAACGAAAGATACTTCCGCCCGAATTCCATTTACTATCGGTTTAGAATACTTACATTCTTTGTTTTGGTCGATCATGATGGGCGACGTGTCGATGATGGCCTTGGGAGGAGACTCCCGAGGACTGGTGGGCGAACCGCCGCCTTCGGCCATGTTGTCTTTGAACCACTCCGGGTAGATTGCCGATATGGTGTCTACCAAATCCCTATCGAGCTGGAGCTGCCAGTACCCAGAGCCAGAATCGCCGAGGTGGCTGGATTCTGGAACGAATTCATTTACTAATTTTTGTTTCGTATTACTGTTGAACAAATAAAGGTTGTTAGAATAACAGTGGTTAGAGTGAAAAACCTTTCTTCTTTCTTTACATGAGACTAATGGAAGTTGTATTTGTTGCATCCTGTAAGACCTATAAGTTTGTTTGGAACAAAGTGGTACAAAAAAATTCTATTTTCTATCGATTATATTGTAAAGAATACACTTTTTTTTCATTTTTTGGCACGACTCCACAACTTTCATAGAAACTTATAAAATCGCTTCTCACCGAGCGCAACGAAAATAAAATTTCGGTTGTGAAATTTTATGGTTTTTTTGGATTATACAAAGATGTTGAACGTTTAGAACGTCCTGAATACATTTCGATTATTTTCTAAACATAATTCTACCGTTTTCTTGGCATCGGCTACAATTTAATAAAAACGCTAATTCCTGCGACATACTATATATTTATCATTATGGTCAATAAACCTAATTGATATTCCTGCGACAACAATACCGATGTTTTTCGAAATCTTCTTTACACGAAGAAAAATACATTTTATCCAAAAATTGCACTTAATTAGTCCATTCTTGTGTTATTTAACCTAATAAACGTCCACGCATTTTTCTTTAAATCAACAACGAAAAAAAAACACCGATGTGATAGATAGATTATTCGATTCGAAAACAGATTTACAAAAACATACGCTCACGTAACTCGCCCGACACAGCTGTCTTAACGTAAACAAATTAATATTATTACCGAAGCCATTGTGTGTGTAATTAAATGCAAAACGAAACATGTAATTCGCAGAAGAAGGACGAAATAACTATAAAACTTTCATTGCTAATTAACTACAAGATAGGTACAAAAAAAAAATAAACAAATCTTAGTCCATTTCGAATTATTCCTAAATAATTTTCTAGGAGGAATGTTAAGAAGTCGTTAACGCTCGCTTTAATGAACGATTTTGCCTTCGTTAAGTCGAAATAAAACAAACTGAATCTTTATTACAAGGCAATTAAAAATCGCGCCGGTGTATAAACGCTTAATTAATTAATTTAATAACTATTACAAAAATTCTTAATATCTGTTACTCACTTAATCGCGACGAAACGACAAGTCCATCGTGCAGGACTCGCAGGACGAAGGAAACGATCGGCGAGCGATCTAATGCAAGGTCGCGCGAAAACTGAAGTAATTCCCGTGTAATTTTTTCCGACGAATATGCGAAGGCGTAACTCGTTTTGCAGGAACAGGATTTGTTTTGTATCTAATATTCATAAGGCTTGTGTGAGCGTTCGATATATTTTTTTCCGATTCGATCGATCAAAGAAATTATTCCATAACGATGCCTTTGCACCTGTTATTGGCTATACAGAATTGGACTCGAATTTCTCGTGCAATAATTATTATAAAAAATGTTGTATAATTTAATCGATTCCAAACCCGGTTCTGGTTCGTTTTTAAAGGACTTGCCCGTTTCTGTAGGTGTAAATTTATTTGTTCTGTATTGCGTATTAATCGATTGCTAATTGGCAATTACGAAATCGGCCTATTTACTAAAAGTTTTGCAGGAATTGGCGTCAGGAAACTGCTCGTTTGCGTCGAAAATAAAAACTGTCACAATACGCGAAACGAAAAAAAAAAATTAAAAGTCTAATTATAATTTTTACTGGCCAATAATTTAAGCAGTTGTTCGTAAATTAAGGGTTTCGCGCGGAAACGTTTAAAAATTTAACGATGGTGCAAATGAACTCGAAATCGAACAGATTAATGCGCTCGAAGGATAGAGAAGACATTTTCGTTAGATCCGATACTTCGAAGAGGAGGAACAGTACAACAGATGTGGCCAGAACAGCCTGTTGAAAATACACAAACTGTGCCACTAAACTAAAGTGAACCGTACGGGAAAGATGTTTTTCACGTGTTTACACATCAACGGGATAGTATTAATGACCTCAAACACCAGATTAATTTAAATTATAGAGAATTTTCAGATTCCAAAAATCTGTTTATTGGGAGCACGCCCGACAGGCGAAAACACAAATAAATCTCTCGGAATGTTTGTTTTCCACCCTTTTGCACAACACTCGGTATTGGATTTCCACCAGAAATCCAAACGCTCTCTAAGTTTCTTATTAATATTATTAATTCGTACGCTCGTCGGTATTTTATCATTAGGTCTTTTGAAATGGAGCGTCCCGCTTTCAGAAATTGGGAAGGCATTTCCTGTTGTTGTCCCGCCTAACAAACAAACATCGTTACCACATTAACGCTGTAATTCGCGATTTTTCATTCCCGCAACGTTATATTTTTACGCGCAACAATGTTTACGAGCCCATTACGAATAGCATAATCTCATTCAACTGGCGTAATGTATATAAAATATACATTTTTTTTAAATGCGTACATTCGATGAGGTAGCGCAAGAGAAATATGTTCTCGCTTCGAACATATTTACAGAACGAATTTGTTTTGCTAAGATTTAACGGTCGGATTGTAAAGTTTTAATGCGATTAACTGCGATATTTACGTTAGCGAAGGAGCGCTAAAAATCTACTAAATTATTCTAATGGAAACTCACTCCTTTTGAGAAGCTTAATTTTCCTGTTCATGACATGTTAGAAGAAAATTCCCGCACTGTCGTATATTATGCACTTATTCAATGGAAAAAACGCGAGAATTCGCCAAGTAAATTTCTCTCTACATTTATCAACACCAGCTCGCAGATAAATCTAATCTTATCTACACAATTTCTCCTCCTAACTTGTGATTAGACGATCGACAAAGTCATGTAAACAAATTCAATAACACCGTAGTATTAAATAATTGCTATCATTCACAAGGTAAACGAATAAATCGCGATTCCCAGGCGGATCTTTAATCTAACATCAAAAATTCAATCTAGTTTACGTTCTCAAACTCAATCGGCGCTAAGACGAACAAAAAAAAACTGGAATATAGCGCCGGAAAAATGCGATTTTCTCATCGAATTCGAACCGATGAGAGCCGCATTGTCGGCGAGAGCGATTCCAATTAATCCTCCATTTCGACGAACGATCCCAATTAGGAACTAGCCGAACAACTGGCGAACAAAGATGAGAAAATTAAACTCGACGATGCGGCCAGTTGTACGATCGAGGAAGAGGAAATGTTTTTCTACGATCGAGAATTTTTTAAAAAAGAACACAAATAAATTCGGTAGCGTAGAGAAAGCTATAAAAGGGTTGTTAAATTTATCAAACTATACTCCGTTCGCCATCAGATCGTAGATACTAAACTTCTTCTTCTTCTACTACTAGATTTAAGGCCTCGGCTAGTAAGCCTATTCGGCCTAATCCTTTTGTGACAACTGACGTTTTGCATAAAAAATCCATTACTCTAATTACGTGTAATTAATTGGTATTTCGACAACGTCGCATCGAAGAGCTTGGCAGGTAGGCCAGGCGCTCTTGGATCAGCTGCAACTCCCTCGCATGGCACACGCGATTATCGTAAAAATAGCAACGGAGCGGCCCCCGGGCTGGAATTCATCATCAGCTGCATACACAAACAGCGCGCGATATGCGCGAAAACGCTGTCGTGAAACGTTCGATCGGATCGAGAAGTTTAGCGAAAAATGTTGCGGTGGTCGGAACGCCGATAGGGCGGAGGCCGGCGTGGAAATAAGAAGAATTCTCGGGGAGTCACAGACGATAAGTGGACAAAAAAAAATAATCAGACGTTTTGGGCGGTTGCCAAGAAAAATTGCAATTTAATTGTTCTTGTAGACTTCATAACGATTTTTTTTCTCTCGAGCTAGAAACGTCCCGTCTCGCGGAAAATAACTTTGCGGTTATTATTAGAGGAAAAAAAAGTTAATCAAATACCTACTAGAAAAATAATAATAAAATTTAGAGAGCAATTTTGCAATCTAAATTTATTAGAATCGAATTTTATTTTTCTCTAGCGAAACAAAAAAATAAAATAAAATAAACCAGGTATTTCACGGTTGAATTATGTCTACGCGAATGTCACTGGTTACACTTAAAATATATAGTAAAATATTTATTATAATCTTTTTGGCTGCAAAATTGTATATAAAAGTTTATTTTCAGCGACCTTCAAGCCGTATAAAATAAATTACATCGAACGGGAAATTGTATATATAAATCCAAATGTGCAGGATAACTCTCGATTAATCCGCGTCTAACGAAACGAAAGATTTTCCTTTTTCCAATATAAATAAAAAAAAAATAATAAAGAAAAACCGAATTGGCTGGCGAAACGTATACGTTAATTGCAAGTGACCATAACGATTTGATAAAAAATTACTTTCACATTTTATAACAGTGAAAACTAATGAAAATCGTGGGCGGCTGACGTGCCGCTGCGCTGGCCATGAAATGGAAATTCGTTAGATCTTTTCGAATAAAATATTGCAAGTTAAAAATACCGGCTTTTCGGTTTATTATAGAATAAACTTTTTCCATCCAACAAAGTGTCATTTTTTCACGTCTGCTTCGCATAGATTATTTTCCGGGCTATATTTGTATTAACCCGAATGTAAAAAAAAAATTGTGTAATACAAATTCCAAAATTCAAACAGCGTTCGATTTTGTTGTGTTTAACTTGAATTATTATTAATAAAAAGGAATCGTTAATTTAACATTGAACAGTTGTAATAAATTAACCGGCGGAGCAATATAAACCTGCTAGATTCGTTCGAAATTGCAAACTAAAAAATAAATGGGGCGCACGAGTGCTATTCCAAATGAGTTTTCCGTTTTTCCCAAGTTCCAAAGGAGAGAGGAAAACAAACACTTTGCAGCGTTAATTGTGCCAGACAAGGTTGTCTGTTTTTTTTGACAGACAGACCTAGATAATTACGGTTTTTGTGCGAAAACAAAAAATTTCCTAACGTAAAAATAGCGTTACGTTAACTTGACGTACGCTAAACACCGCTAACCATCAATGTTTGACAGTGGCATTTGACAAGAAATCGAGATGTAAAACTGCATG